AATGAAGGAAAATATTTTAAAATACAAATTTCGAAATATCTACTAAAATATTTATGTTTAGAAAAATATTGGGTAAATCAGGAAAAGATGTACGAAAAATAGTCTAAATATGTATGAAACTATGTGAAATGTACGAAAACCCTAAAATATGGAAAATATGGAAAACTACCTATGTTTGAATATTTGCGATCGTGCGTAGATAGGATGTCAGTATAGAGTAAGAATTAAATGATTCGACAAGCAGATCCGCCGACTATTTCAAAAGTACAAATACTTAATTGGATTATGTTCCCCACATGAAACGAATTAAAATTTCCTTTGGGGGGGTTATGAGAATAATGGGAGATAAATGTGGTGCACATAGGGCACAGCATATCTATGAAATGGGTTGATGAAATTTCAAAAACAAAATTTTGTTACACTCTCTGGATCAGTACCCCGATAGGTTTTTCGAACTGAGGTGGAATTCCGACTTTGAGGGGTTTTTCACAGCGACGCAAAATTGACTCAGAAATTAATTTTTCGCTATAACGAAAAAGTATGACGAAATGTTCATACATTAGCTTTTCACCAATTTTTACTACATTGCAAATTATTAGTAGTAGAATAAAGGTTAAATTACCCAGAAAGTCGAAATCGACCTGCGTGACCTTTTTCGGGGATCGAAAGGTCACAATGTCAAAGGTCACATAGCCACATAAATGGGGTATCGTTGGAAAGGTATTGGCGAGAGGATTCAGAATATGTATACTTTGTGGGGTCTGAAACCACTCCCTGCAAACAAAGAGCCAAAAGAATATTTTTGAGTTTTTCCCATGCATGCTTCCGTGTTAGCTCCCAATCCACTGCTGTGTTAAATTCTGGACAACTGCCGATTTTCGTTCTTTGGCCTCTAGACTTGCAGGGAGTGGTTTCAGACCCCACAAAGTATACATATTCTGAATCCCCTCGCCAATACCTTTCCAACGATACCCCATTTATGGGGTAATGTGACCTTTGACATTGTGACCTTTCGATCCCCGAAAAAGGTCACGCATGTCGATTTCGACTTTCTTTGTAATTTAACCTTTATTCTACTACTAATAATTTGCAACGTAGTAAAAATTGGTGAAAAGCTAATGTATGAACATTTCGTCATACTTTTTCGTTATAGCGAAAAATTAATTTCTGAGTCAATTTTGCGTCGCTGTGAAAAGCCCCTCAAAGTCGGAATTCCACCTCAGTTCGAAAAACCTATCGGGGCACTGATCCATAGAGTGTAAAAAAATTTTGTTTTTGAAATTTACTTTTTTACGTACATACATAACCGGCGTCTGATAATTATATCACTAGTTTGTGTGTAAACACATAGTAGCGAAGTTTCAATATGGATCACTTTAATTGTTAGCATATAATTAGTCAATAAATAATTGCATCAGTTTGAAATTGTCGCATAGCAATTCTACATAGTCGGACCATAAGTTCCCGTGCATGCATTTCTGGTGATAAATCACAAAGTATTAGAGCTATTTGCTAAAAATTTTTATGGATGAACAAGATCTTGCGTACAAGCCCCTGGACAAAATCTTGAAAACTGAGTTATGATTTCTAAACAATATTAGTGCCTTGTTCATCCATAAAAATTTCTAGCCAATAGCTCTAATACTGTGTGATTTATCACCAGAAATGAATGTACGGGAACTTATCCCGTGCGTTTCTGAGACTTGGGATCCATTTGGGAATCTGAACAGTAGATGGATCCTTACGGATCCCTTATGATTACAGTATATTTCCAATAAGATGTGATGCATATATGCATTTCATGTAAAAAATCCAATTGGAAATTTTTATACAGGAAAATGACTGTTAGGTCCCCAATGGAATTGCTAACGTTAACGGGATCTGATTGGAACATACTTGCATTACAAAACTCAATATCCCATCTGAATTAATCATATTGGATTTAGACGAAAAGGCATGAAATATATCAAGCATCCCCGATAAATACTGAGCGGCATATTTGGAATTCACTCCTCGTCATGCTTTTTTAGTTTCTCTTTGGTCAGCCTAAATTACTCGCTCTGGTCAATTTTCTATTCTTTTAAATATACCTGCGGTGACATGACCCACGTATGTTGGGAGGACGAAAGCTATTTTGAATTCGGAACAACGTTCGAAGATGTATCGACGCTATCCGATTTAAAACATTAAAGGGTGAGCTTGATATTCATCATATTATTGATCTATATGGTTAAAAAAAACATGAAAAAACCTAAAAGAAAATGTACTGTTTTTATAGATTACACAACGGAAATTTTCGACCTGAAACCAAATACTGTTGAGTGGTTAACTTTTGAAAAGAAGCTTCACAATATTCCTGGGGATGCCAGAAAGAAGATGAATCGTCTCACAGGTCTGGCTGGAAATTCTACGATCACGTCGCCGGAATTCAGTTGTTCGAATTCCTATGATTCAGAAACGAGAGTTGAGGAGTACCTCAACTTGGTAGGGGAGAATTAAGAATAGTATAAAATTTATTAATTGGATTCTTGTATAAATAAATACATTGAAGTTTTAATAGTCGATATTTTGTTTTTGTTCTGGGATTTATTTTAAGATATCCAAAGGGAATTTTGATGGTTTTCATATATTATATTATCATACTGGATACTGTTCACCGATATCATATATGCCGAAGTGGAATTTTTCTGCTAAAATTTCGAATGGGAATCAATGGGTTCGTATTTGAGAAAAGTGATGGGGAATCCTTCCCATTTTCCCAACACTGTTTCCCATTGGGCTCTCCCTAATGGAAACAGTGGGAATGAACTGCACGGGATGGTCCGAGTATGTACCTGAGTTTAATTGGTACCCATATTTTTTTAATCGTGTAAGTTAACGTACCTCTTCCCTAAATGTTTGACATTATTTACAATCAATTGCATGAAGGAAAAATATTTACAATGCAGCTACATATGTACATATAATCGAAAAAGTTTCAAAATTTCCACACGACTTCTGCATGAATTATTCTCATCATTAAATAAAATTCCAGCAAAAACATTTCAATCTTTACAACCAAATAAATCACAGTTTTTAAAAAGGCACCACTTCAAATTTTTAACGTCTTCCTTGACCTGGAAACGCTCGCCAGGCGGCCACCCCATCACTCGTCCCAAGCTCCTTATGACACCTGATTTTTGAAATTGTTGCGTAAATAATTTTGGTTTACACAATTTTTGGGAAATGTTTTCAAAAATCTTAAATTCCTACATGCATACCTTTTACAGCTGTGTATGACATCATGATAGGCATCAGTCGCCGTTGCACATTCCTTTGAACAGAACATCGCCCCAGTAAAAATGGCCATACAAACGGCGCCTGATCCAAGTCCTATCATCCAATTTGTTTTTACCGCGATCGTGATGGTGCAGAGAATGGTGAGAAATCCAAGCAGAATCATGGTACAGGCGTATCTCGAGTTCATTAGATCTTTAGCCTCCTTATTCTCCATGACCTTGGTTTCCGTTTCCATGGAAATTTTACAGTACGGACATGTAACTAAGATTGGCTCTCGACCGTTTTGCACAATTTGAGAAGAAATTCCAACAAGTGCTTGGACCTCGTCTGCTGTAAAAGTTGCGGGTTGGGCGCAAGCCGGGTGAGATTCTATGTCGTACATAATCTAATAAAAATTATTATTGATGCTAGTTCAATTTGGTCTGGTCAGTTTGATCCCAAGAGAGATCAATTTGGTCTGGTTTTTTAATTAACCAGAATAAGTTAGGTTGACCAAATATGCCAAACCAAATTTCCAAAGACCACACTGACCCTACCAAATCTACCGGACACTAAAATTATTAACGGCAATTTAACAAATACCAGTACAAAATATTTATATACGTAGTCTCTCACCTTTGGGAAAGCTAGAAACTTTACGAGTGCAGTCTTCAAGGCAATGTGTGCGTATCTAGTAGAACAAAATTCAAACAATTTAAAGTCTTTATTTCGTAATACGTATTTACTTTTTAGCCTGCGGTAAGGCTTATGTAATTATCGCGGTGTCCGTTTGCCGTGTTTCTATCGATTACGCTCGAAAAATGTGTATTGTCAACTTGAAAATTTACAAAATCGTACAAAATGCAAAATAAGTTCGAAGATGAGCAAATTCGGTAAAAAAAATAAATTTTTATGTAATATGCCACCACACGGGACTCTGAATTTCCCTGTGGTTGACAATAACAACAAGTGAGGGTATTTCTTGATAATTTAAATCCGGTGATGCTTCCGTAAAACCCATTAATTTTAAATTAAAGTACAAATTATAGTTTAGAAATAGAAAGCTGGCATAGCTGTAACTTAGCAAAAAAATAAAATGACAAAATTTTTGTCTTAGGAAATTTTAGAATTTATTGTTCACGATACAACTACATACATAAGTATTTTTCGTAGAATTAGATGTGGTAATGTAAATAAACATGAGCTGGTTGGATTAAAAAAAATGTTTGCCATGAATGAACTTTTACATTTTGGTTAAATTTTGGTTGTTACGCGAGATATCGTTGTTTCGACAGAATTGGACTGTGAAATGAAACCTGAACCTATGAAAAACATATGTGCATTTTAGATATGCATATTTAGAGGAGACCTTGTTTAAAAACACTACACATTTATATAAGGACAAATAAGTAACTGGACATGGTTATTTACAATAGATGCAAGACATAAGGCTAATAAAACCTAAGTACTGGTAGCAAATTTGGTAGCAAAATCCCTACTTGTTCCAACTTCAGGGGGTTAGTCCATATAGTACGTCATCAAAAATTCTCGAGTTTAGCACCCGCCCACTCAACGTAAACATTAAGTGATAGGGAATTTTAACATGGGGAAGATAGGAAACCACCCACCCACTAAAATAATGACGTAAGGGATGGACGTTCCCTTGGAATATGCATCACAGAAAGACCGGCTGCAAACACAAACAAAGTTTCTTGGAACTGCTGATTTCTAACTCAATCTACGCAGTTACGTGCAAACATGCATATCTATGTTACTTATAATAAATTAATTTATTATAATTAATGGGGATGCAATTAATTCAGTTTTCGATCCCTGTGATTATGTTACGTGAGGGAGAGGAATTAGTAAGTTATAAAAACTTGAATATTATTTTCACATTTTTGCAATAACTATATAATATATAGTATTGTATATTATACAATTAATCGTATGTACGTCTTAAATTGTAAGTTGTAAAATAATATGATTTATTAATAATTTTACAGCAAGAATGTTCCACATCTAGTCAGGATAACGAGTCCATTACCAAACAGCTTTCTGGAACTCTGGAACGTAACCAAAGTTTTCTTATTCCAGATGTAAAATTATTACGTTCATCAGCACTTACATTGCCCGAACCAGGAAATATTCAGTAATGAAATTATGAAATCAAATTGTGCAAAACAAGCTATAAAATATTGCTTACACACACAATGTACTTTACAATTTCACTTATTATTCCAACAAAAAAAACATCAGCCTAATTTCAAATAATTTGACCCCCCAAGGATAAAACATTTCCTAACCCAAATACTTTCATGTACTGCACAAATGTATCAAATTTCACCTAAATTGGTAAATCCGGTGTGTGTAGAGACGGACGGACATGTACATAGCACACGCACATAAGCCCTGGTTCGGGTTTAAACAAATCCTAACTAACCATAACTATTTTTATAATTTTCTTTTCCAGGTACTTCCCCTCGTCTGCACCTTCCTCGCCATCCCAGAGATAAAGACGTGCCGACTCATCTCTAAATCCTGGAACTATGGCCCACGCCCACCCTAAAAGCCCGGACAACAACAAAAATTCCAGTCTATCCTGGATATTATACGGATGGCTCGGACGCCAAAGTAATTGAAGGTGGAGCAGACCCAACTTTAGAACGATTAAAATTCTCCCCCGTCAACATCCATCTGCTGCTTCCCCGTGTACGGGATAACACTCCGAAACCACCTCCCCCCAAAAATGTCCCATCACTCCCCAACCTCAAATCAATTATTATCCAGTACGCGCCTCATGCACAATGCATCAAAGTGAAAAACTTTTGTCACAAACTTATCCGCAGCTCGTGTCCCAAGTTGGAGGAGCTGACCATTCTTAACCACCACGCCCTCGACTTTCCTCCCCTTCGTGACACTATTTTTCCTAAGCTGAAGAGATGCGTTATCGATTACACTAGGATTTACGGGAACGTAAGAAATGAGTGTAGAACATACCATGAAATTGGTCACGCCTTAACGGTAGCCTTCCCAGCGTTGGAGCACCTCGAAATTAACAGCTACCAATTATACCAAGTTGTAATGATTCCAAAATTTCAAGATCTCGTATCAAAGCTTCCTGTGTAAGTGGAATATGTACACTTGTAAATAATCTGGTAATAAACATTACCGAAAAGCACAAGTATATGGTATGAGTCTACCAAAGTAGTGATAAGTTGTCCCGAGTTGTAATGCCTTGATAATAAAGTTTTACCATCATGGTAACGAATTTTTACTACCTGGTAAAATATTTTTACCAAATTTGTTACCGAGCAATCATTACCTGCGTGACTTTACCGGATTATTAAAAGTGTAGATATTATCTCGGATAGCATCAAGTTTTTGGGAAAAAATAATTAATTAAAACTTTATTAAAATAATTTCAGATCACTTAACTCATTATTTTTGAAGGGAGTCCTTGACCTGCCTTTGGCTATAAGTCTGCTCAAAATTCCTGGTCCTTTGAAGACACTTAAATTTCTAGATCTCAAATTCGATATCGACATCAGTGACGAGCTGACCACGACTTTCTATAAATTACTAAAGAAGCATTCCTCCACCCTGGAAGAACTTTGCATCCACATTTCATGGCTTTATGAGAGACCCCTAGAATGGAAGTTGCCCGCATTTCCGGTTTTGAAAACCCTCGTGCTCAGAAATGGTAATACGTTCCAAAAAGTCAAATTTGAAACATGCTCCGGTTCATTTGGACGGATCGATTACCACGCTTGTTTCCCTGCCTTGGAAACTTGCCGGGTGTCCAGCAATTCGAACGAGTTTTCCACCGCATTTCTCCCACCGGTAGGATATCCAGTCGTCGAGTCGGTGAAAAAGGTGGAGATGTACCAGGAGGGTCAAGAGGATCGCGAAGTAACTAAAGGGAACATTCGCGCCCGACTCTTGGAAAGTTTTCCTAATGCGAGAAATTCGGTAATTGGACATTTAAAGAAATTACTAAATAATTTTTCTAGTGAAATGTAGATATTTAACGGCTGAAACATATTTTTTCAGATAGAGGTTAATATTTTCTAATTCTGCTCCAAACTCTCACAGAAAGCAATCGGATTTTCTCAGGGTGAATAAATTGTACCGTAAATCAAAGCAGGGTCCTAAATATTTGGTACCGTCTATGTATACAGATGCATTCCCATCATCAGTCAGTCAAAGTCAATGACACCCACACCATGAAATCCTATAATACACACACACACATGTACTACTTACATACGTATCAACAAAATATTTATGCAACCCAACCTAAATTAAATAAACAGTAAATATTTTTACAAAAGACAATTATTTCTTTAGTAATCCAATTATAATTTACACACTGAGTCGCCTGATGTATGCTAATTTTATAGGAAATAGATATGTACAACAACCAAGGTCGTAATTGTTATTTAGTAATTTTAGGAAAGAACACATTTCTCCAACGTTTGCATACTACTAAAGCTTCCGACGTAATTAATTAATAGTCTTTTTACCCCTCATATATGTACATACACCCACTTAAGCCTAGTTTAAACTTCTGTGATTCGAGTGATCTTTTTTACTGACTGCTTGGGTGCTTTACTGCATGCTGTTAGTTAATCGCTTTAATTTCAAGGTCATCTTCATTACATTACTTAAGTATGTTTGTACATACACTCTAAACAAAATTGAGTAAAAAAGAGGATGACACAACAGTCGAGGTAAAATTTGTCCAAAATTGAGTAAAATTTGCCCAACGTTGTGCGAACAAGGTGCATCATCATCATAATTTTACTCAATGTTGGACAAATTTTACCTCGACTGTTGTGTCATCCTCTTTTTTACTCAAGGTTGGGCAAATTTAGTACAACTTTTTTTAGAGTGTATGTATGTCAGTATGATTCGTATGTATGTATGTAGGACGCTCTACTGCTAAGTACATATACTAACGTGTAATATATGTATTAAATGACTTAAATCCTTGAAAATCATTAAAGACACAATTATCCTCATTAATGCGTGACATGTTTCACTCGCTCCCAAATTTACATTCAGTCAGCCGTAGTTGAAGTGAAGTAAATTTTGTCTCCATACAAAAATCCTTTAAAAATGCAGCTCGCATATTTCCAAGTTTTTATTCCCACCTGTTTACTCCTCCTAATTGGCACCCCTGCACACGTGGAACCTGCCAAAATCCTATTCCTCATCCCCATGTCGACCCGCAGTGAGAAACACATGTTCTCCCCACTAATTACCAAATTGGCCTCAAACGGTCACAACTTAACCGTCGTGACGAACATTGCGGACAAAGTGGGACACGCCAACGTGACGGAAATCGTGCCCATTTCCGTCGACGAAGTGTGCGGAAGTGTGAGTGACATTGGAGCTTCCCAAAGTTTATTTTGGGACATTGTTTTCCTCGATATGAAGCCCTTAATGTCTCTAGTGGACAAGATTTACGACCATCCCGAATTTAAAACGGTTTTGAGGCAGAAATTTGACCTGATTTTTACCAACTTGTTTTTTGGACAAGCTTTTTACGGTGTAATGTACAAAAATCGGGGCCCCTTCATTCTCCTGCATAGTCTTCCGGTCGCCAATTATTTTCTGAAGGACTGGGGCCACGTGGCACCTCCGTCCCACGTGCCCTATCCGTTGTTGGAATTTACAGACAAAATGAACTTCCGAGAACGTGTCGTGAATTTTTTGGTGGATTGGGCCACATATTTCCACTCGGAGATGGTGGATATTCCATTGTTTGAAGAGGTTTATAGGAAACATCTCGGACGGGAGGTACCCTCGGTGAAGGAAATTCAGAAAAATGCGAGTTTGATGATGATGAATACGAATTATTTGACGACATATCACAGACCGGTTATGCCGGATGTGATTGAAATTGGGGGGATGCATTGTAAGGAGGCGAAACCTCTGCCGGAGGTATGAATGTTTATAAATTATATGCAATTTTTTGATGAAACTTTTGTAGACTTGAATTTAGGAAATTTATGCTCATATGGGAGCGTCCATGAATCACGTGATCGATTTTTGGCCAATTTTGACCCCCTCCCCCCTAGGTGACCGGTGGTGATAATTTCGCTACCCCCCCCCACCGGTCACGTGACAGGAGATGCTCAAATTAAATCATGTTGTCCGGAACAACAATATTTTTTAAATCATTAATCAAATTAGAGCTACACTACACACATGTGTAAATACCTATTTAATACGCCAGTCAGACATAAGTATTTAAGTCGAAGCAAGTTTCTAAATATGCAAAATGAAAATCAAATTTATATAACGTGCGTGTGGTATGCCAAGAGAGTTTATATATAACTCTCTCATGACATTTATTGGCATATACAAAAGTTTAAAAAACTTTTGTATATACTACTCATGTCACGTGACATCTGACCATCTACCCCCCCCCGTGATAATTGGTGACAAATTTCAGACCCCCTCCCCCCCTCTAATCGATCACGTGATTTATGGACGTTCCCTATGTACGTCGGATATGAATTAAATATGACTTTTTGCATTTATTGACCTATATTTTCGGAGAATGTTGACAGTCACGTGTTGGTCACGTGGGTCAAGGCATATTTTCTCACTAGCGTATAAGCCCGTCTCCCGCCGGGCGAGCGAAAATAAGAGCTGGAAATATCTGTCGGCAACGGAAGTAAAAGATAAATGGTGGAATGACAAATTCTGTGTGCTCGTGTCTGACTCCTACTCCGCTTCCACTCCACTCCGCAGTGGAGTCACAAACTTACAGAATTGTTGATTGTAGAAGTGACAAAACTCTGGATCCATGAACTCACTTCCAGTTCATTCCGCAGTGAAATAACCACCCAACATAGCTACTATTAGACAACCACTCCCAAATAAGCACCATCAGGCAACCACTCCCAGATAAGCACCATCAGGCAACCACTCCCAGATAAGCACCATCAGGCAACCACTCCCAGATAAGCACCATCAGGCAACTACTCCCAGATAAGCACCATCAGACAACCACTCCCAGATAAGCACCATCAGGCAACCACTCCCAGATAAGCACCATCAGGCAACCACTCCCAGATAAGCACCATCAGACAACCACTCCCAGATAAGCACCATCAGGCAACCACTCCCAGATAAGCACCATCAACTACTCCCAGATAAGCACCATCAGACAACCACTCCCAGATAAGCACCCCATCAAACAACCACTCCCAGATAAGCACCATCAGACAACCACTCCCAGATAAGCACCATCAGGCAACCACTCCCAGATAAGCACCATCAGGCAACTACTCCCAGATAAGCACCATCAGACAACCACTCCCAGATAAGCACCATCAGGCAACCACTCCCAGATAAGCACCATCAGGCAACCACTCCCAGATAAGCACCATCAGACAACCACTCCCAGATAAGCACCATCAGACAACCACTCCCAGATAAGCACCATCAGGCAACCACTCCCAGATAAACACCATCAGGCAACTAATCCCAGATAAGCACCATCAGACAACCACTCCCAGATAAGCACCATCAGGCAACCACTCCCAGATAAGCACCATCAGACAACCACTCCCAGATAAGCACCCCATCAAACAACCACTCCCAGATAAGCACCATCAGACAACCACTCCCAGATAAGCACCATCAGGCAACTAATCCCAGATAAGCACCATCAGACAACCACTCCCAGATAAGCACCATCAGGCAACCACTCCCAGATAAGCACCATCAGACAACCACTCCCAGATAAGCACCATCAGGCAACCACTCCCAGATAAGCACCATCAGGCAACCACTCCCAGATAAGCACCATCAGGCAACCACTCCCATATAAGCACCATCAACTACTCCCAGATAAGCACCATCAGACAACCACTCCCAGATAAGCACCATCAGACAACCACTCCCAGATAAGCACCATCAGGCAACTACTCCCAGATAAGCACCATCAGACAACCACTCCCAGATAAGCACCCCATCAAACAACCACTCCCAGATAAGCACCATCAGGCAACTACTCCCAGATAAGCACCATCAGGCAACTACTCCCAGATAAGCACCATCAGGCAACTACTCCCAGATAAGCACCATCAGGCAACCACTCCCAGATAAGCACCATCAGGCAACCACTCCCAGATAAGCACCATCAGGCAACCACTCCCAGATAAGCACCATCAGGCAACCACTCCCATATAAGCACCATCAACTACTCCCAGATAAGCACCATCAGACAACCACTCCCAGATAAGCACCATCAGACAACCACTCCCAGATAAGCACCATCAGGCAACTACTCCCAGATAAGCACCATCAGACAACCACTCCCAGATAAGCACCATCAGGCAACCACTCCCAGATAAGCACCATCAGGCAACCACTCCCAGATAAGCACCATCAGACAACCACTCCCAGATAAGCACCATCAAACAACCACTCCCAGATAAGCACCATCAGACAACCACTCCCAGATAAGCACCATCAGGCAAACACTCCCAGATAAGCACCATCAGACAACCACTCCCAGATAAGCACCATCAGGCAAACACTCCGTTGCCAACAAACATTTCCAGCTTATAATATAAGATATTGATCATATTTTCGGGTTATATTCTCCATTATATATCGGACTTTTTTCGTTCATTTTAGGTATGACCTTTGCCCACATTTTAAGATTTTTATACCAAATTACAATTAAATTTAAAATTACGAAAAAAAAAAAATTTAAAAAAATCAGTTTTGCCAAGTGGGAAATTTACAAAAATTTGCAAATTTTGCCTTTTACCATTATTATGTTTTACCATTATTAGCGCTAAAGGACTTATTTTATTAATAAAAACCGTGTACTACAATAAGCAAAAATAAAAAATAGACATATTTTGGGGATTTTTGCGGTCATATATTTTGAGGTTTTATCCATCATTCATATCCGAGGTCTTTTTATAATAATTATTTTTAAGGACTTGGAGAAATTGGTGGGAACGGCTGCAGCTCCGGATGGATTCATTTTTATAAGTTTCGGAACCGTGTTGACGGGTTCCAGTCTACCGGAAGGGATTAAGGATAAGTTTCTCCACGTGTTTTCTCGCTTGAAGCAGAAAATTTTATGGAAATGGGAGTCTGAAGATGGGGATAATTTACCTTCAAATGTAATTCGGAGGAAATGGTTACCTCAACAAGATATTTTAGGTATTGTTCTAATTAATTAATCTACATTAATTTAAGTGTGATTAATTACATGCATGGCTAAATTATTATTTTTTATACTGATGTATTTATTCATACCTGTTCACACTCATTCATTTATTGAGTATAAATGAATGAATTATTCAAAAAATGATTGAATAATTAATGCATATTTTGCTTAAAATTTGGAATGAATGAATAATGAATGAAAAATGTTCTTCAAGGTTTTGAATGAATGAATCTAGAATAAATATTTATTCAATTAATGTGTGCATGATGAGTGAATAAATAATTATATTCATTATTCAATTTTAATCAGAAGCTTAATAAATTCGGCAAATTTGGAAATTCGACCAATGTAGCAAATTTGAATAAGAAATGAATGTTGAATAAAGAATAATGAATCAATATTTCTCTTCAGATTTTGAATAAATTAATAATGAATGAATATTCTTCAAATTAGAAAAATGAATGAATTTTAGAATGAATAATTTTCTTCAATTTTAAACGAAATGATTTTTTGATTGATTGATTTATTTCAATGAATTTTTGAATGAATAATTATTTTTTAAACTAATGTATTTATTCAAGGTCACAGCAACATTCGTCTTTTCATTTCTCACGGAGGGTTGTTAAGCATGCAGCAAACGATCTATCATGGCGTCCCCGTCATCACGTTTCCCTTCTTTTTCGACCAGATGACAAACGCACGAGCGATTGAGGACCAAGGCGTCGGATTAAATATGAACGTTTGGAATTTCACAGAAACTAAGCTGGAAGAAGGAATTAACCAAATTATTGCGGAAGGGTCGAAGTAAGTAAAGATAGAAAATGAGGGATACGTAAAAATCTTTTTCGCATCGATCCCACCGATTTCCATAAAAATTATTACAAATTTAATTTTCGGTGGAAGGGTTCACGTAGTATAGGAATTTAAGAACTGCATGTAACCACACCCCCTTTAAAAATTGAGACAAGAAACTGGGAAAAATGAGAAAGCTAGTATACACTCGGTACAACAAGAATTAGGCCCCAACTTGCATTTGACATTAGAATCCCCCCCTGAATATGAACATTTCGATGCATCAAAAATTTCAAAATTCGAATATTCGCGGTTTTTTTACATACACATAAACCGTTAAAAAACTAATAGCTCCAGTCATTTCCCTTCTGACAACCTGATGCCAGATTTGTCTACGTCAAAAGAGCTATATTCTCAGCTTTTGTTGTCGGAAGGGAAATGACTGGAACCATGACTTTTTTGAGGTCAAAGTTTCCGTGGGGGCCATCTTGTATGGTAAAGGCCGTAACAAACTTATGAATATATATGACGCTTATGAATCATGCATTTCAGGCATGCAGAATTGCATGAAAATGCACTTGTATTGCATGAAGTCATAAAATCGCCCCAAATTTAAAACTTGAGCTTATCTGAATTTATAATGACGTTATGCACTCGAAAATTAGCGCTCCGGGGGTTATCAGTGTACTTATCAATTTTTCAGATAAGCACATTAAGTTTATCCAAATCGCTCCAAATTTAAAACTTAAGCTTATCTGAATTTATAATGACGTTATGCACTCGAAAATTAGCGCTCCGGGGGTTATCAGTGTACTTATCAATTTTTCAGATAAGCACATTAAGTTTATCCAAATCGCTCCAAATTTAAAACTTAAGCTTATCTGAATTTATAATGACGTCATGCACTCGAAAATTAGCGCTCCGGGGGTTATCAGTGTACTTATCAATTTTTCAGATAAGCACATTAAGTTTATCCAAATCACTCCAAATTTAAAACTTAAGCTTATCTGAAATTATTTGTTCATAATCATGGATCACCATGATTGTGTAAAATTTCATAAGCTAATAGTGTTTGTTAGACACTATCAGCAATTTTAGGGTTTCGACTATGCTTAGTCCAAGAATTATTTGCTTACAAATACTTCCTGCTGGAAAATCCAGTCATCAGCGAGGTAGCAACAACCTCGGACCCTTACCCAAGGTGATGTTAATTTAATTATCGCGGGATAATTAAACTAACATTCTTACCAATTAAAAACAGTCATTGAAAGCCATATGAAAGTTATATTATGCGATCTGCGATCATGACTAAATTACCAAATGATTTTAAATTCGAAGAATCGGGTAAATTTGAATAATTCATTTAAAGTATTTAATAATATGATTTAATAAATAAATTTATTAAAAAATATTATTAGGTCAGCCACCAATACCACCATTCGAAGTCCATCTTCGCCACCACGTCCTTCTTCTTTCTTGAGACTAGGAGGTATCACTTCTTAATACTAGCACCGCATAAAATAAAGGTCTAAACTAAGAAATTAACCTACTATTTACATATATACACTATTTACAAGTTTATACATTTATCGTTGAAATTGTTGAAAGAGTCTTCCTATTTCTTCCTGCTCCTCCATAGAGATGTTGATGGTCCTTCCACGTCTTGATGCTCTTGATGGGAAAATCTTCTTAATAATCTGTCCAATCTTGATGTAACAAGAAGCGTTTTCAGAAATATACGAAGTTCCAGATTTGGATTTGGAGGTGTTGGGTTTCCAAAATGTCACCTTCACCTCCTGTTCCGCGAGGTCCACTTCGTCGATGATTGCGACATACCATTGTTTCTCGTAGACACAAACAACCCAATCGCTGACAGAGCATTCATCGATGATGACCAGGGGAGGTTGGCCTTCGGATTCCATTATTTTCGTAGCCATCACCGTGGTGTCCCGAGAAACTTCGTAAAGGTGAATTTTTCCCGATGCAATTTCAATACGATGAGCTTGTTGAGTCCCCGCAATTGTTTTTATTGTCTCGTACCGGGAAGTTAAATCCTTTTCATCAATAATCTCCTGAATTTCGGAATCCGAGATGAAGATGTATTCTATTCCTTTGATATTTGAACTGCACCAGTTATAGAATTCTAAGGCTGTTGTAATCTTGGTGCCTTGTAGGGATGCAGTTCTTGCTCGACGTTTCGCAATTCCTCCTTGAGCATCTTGAGGTCCCTTCATATGAGCAGTTGCTCCATAGTTCCATTCAGCTATAATTCCGAAGTCCTTTAGATGATGGTATAAGTTACAGAAGTTTTTTCGGTTCTTATATTGGGCTGCAGATCCATCCGAAACGTAGTAGATCTTGGTAATCTTGATTTGGGCAGCAGCAAACTCAGCAACAAGTTTTGGTACGAGTTTGGTCTGGAATGCGTAGAAAGAGTTTGTGTCATGAGTGGTACAATCACTAATGACAGTTATGCTCTTCATCTTGACTTCTTGATTCACGTTCCAATATATCGTGAAGGGGTGGAGAGTGATTTGTTTATGGGAAAAATACTCAGACTGGACAGCATTTTGGATGACAGGTGAATAATTTTCAGAAAAATCGCCCCATATGACAATCTCACCTGGTTTGAGATTCTGGCGAAGATCCACCAGAAATTCATGCTGAGCTTTGCTGATGTAGTGATGTTTCATCATCTTCTCCAATTCTAAAGTTGCAAAGTCCAAGAATTCTTCGGTATCCTTTTCTTGAGTCACGTATTGGGTCCCATCGGTTGTTAGCCATCTTCGGTACGATATTGACTCGTTGTTCTTGAGTACTTCATTTTCTCTTAAAGTTGTTTTGAATCTTGTTGTGGATCCTTTACACTGAGCACATCTCCTGTAGTAGCAATCCTTGCCTCCGTTTTCACAAACTAATTGTGAAATTAAAGGCTTGATTGAAGAAATCTTGATAGCGTGGAACAAAAGTTTGACGTTCTCATGATGAATACATACGCAAACGTTGTGGTATCCCTTGCTGGTTAGCGAGATGCATTCTGGCGGCCTTAGCATCATAAAGGATGATTTCCCAATTTTCGAATCCGGGTGGTGGGTCTTGAAAATTTCGTAGAGCTCCCGCAGATTGCTTAAAAGATACCGCTTCTGCTTATGTTCTCGTTTCCCTGTTTCCTTGTTCTTTATGGATAAGAAGTCCTGTTTTCCTGGGTAGGCTCTAGAAACATCATCTTGATAATAGAAGTCCTTAATCCTGGATTTTGTCTCATCAGTAATTTTGAATCCACATTTTGGTTTTACGGGAGGAAGAATGGTGTTGGTTTCTGTTCGACGTTTTCGACTTCCCTGGACCAACCGCTGTCCAACGTCGAAGAAGTCTTTGGTTTTCTTGATACTCCAAGATGGCGGAACCAGGGTTAAAAGCTGTTTTTTTCGGCTTGAGAACATCCTTGCAATCTCAACTTTAAGTTATTCATGATCCACTTGAGATCTTCAGAATCTTGTAGAAGTTGTTGTTTATCTTCTTCTTCAATTGGCAATCCGACTTCTTTAAATCCTGTGGTGATTGTCTTGGCAACTTGCTCAAGTTCTCTTGTGACGAGGTTACCCTGTTGGATGAGGTTTCTTCTATTAAATGTTATTGCAGGGGATGAAGGAGAGATTGTCTGTTTTATATTGGTCAACGTATCGACCAATTTCTTCTTGGTGACAGGTTCTTCAAATGGGTCTTCCGACTCTTGTTCTTGAATTTCTTCAGCATAACCATGGCAAAATTTTGCGTCCTTGCATATAGCTTGATTTGGTAATAAACCTATCTCCTTATACTGGGTAAAGTATTGCTCCGCGGTAATGTACTTCACATACTTACCACTATACTTATCATTATGTTTTGGATGACAACATAGCATAGCGCTTCTTCGCCGACCAAAATACTCGATACATTTGGTGCAGATGCTGTTATCATTAAAATTAACTTTAAGATTGTACCCTGGAAATGTCTGCTTCATTGAGTGCAAAATCCTGTATTGCTCCATCTTGCTAACTAATCCAGCCACAGATTTATCTTTAGAACAAGTCCAGCCATGGTGGGCAATCAAGAGTCCAATATTGCAGAGTCGTACTATAAAATATAATTTAGCACTCTTATAATTTATTAATACTTTGAAATATTTTAATAATTATCCACGCTCTGATATTTTTTACCAAGTTTAATAAAATTTTCATTAATAAAAATAATTAACCACGCTCTGATATTTTTTACCAAGTTCAATAAAATTTTCATTAATAAAAATAATTAACCACGCTCTGATATTTTTTACCAAGTTCAATAAAATTTTCATTAATAAAAATAATTAACCACGCTCTGATATTTTTTACCAAGTTTAATAAAATTTTCATTAATAAAAATAATTAACCACGCTCTGAATTTTTTTTGCCAATTTTAATCAAATTTTAGTGGATATAAATAATTAACCACGCTCTGATATTTTTTTGCCAATTTTAATAAAATTTTAGTGGATATAAATAATTATCCACGCTCTGATATTTTTTGCCAAATTTAATAAATTTTTCATTAATGTTAATAATTAAACACGCTCTGATATTGTGTACCAAATTTAATTAGATTTTCATTAATGTTAATAATTAACCACGCTCTGATATTGTTTACCAAATTTAATAGAATTTTCATTAATATAAATACTTATATTTTACCAAATTTTATATGATTTTACCAATTTTAATTTTTTTCAACCATTGTTACTATATTTTTTAATTTTTCAAACATAATTTAAAAAATTACCTTCCACGTTCCGTCTGGTTTCTGCATCTTCTGCAAAAACAACCAAAAAGGTTAAAATATGGTTTAAAAAACCAAATTTAGCCAGCATGTTCCTCTCTTCTGATACCACCGTATGTAGAGGAACATACTGGCGGAGAAGACGACCCCCTAACCAACAGGGCAGGGGGAGTGGTACCAGGAACCCCACCCTCCCCAAATACAACAAAAAAGGATACATACCATGAATTCCTTGGGCGGGTGGGGTAGTATCCGGTGGTGGTGGTGATGATGATGATGATGATGATGACGACGACATGGTCGAAAGAAGGGGTGGCGGTGGTGGCGGGGGCGAAAGTGGGGGTGGTGGTACTGGTGGCTGATCCGTGTGGGAGGAGTAAGACTCCATGATGCACAATTTTTTTTATTAATTTATAAAAAACTCACACTTTTTTATTGCTTTAAAAAAACTGGAGAATTTGGAAAACAAACCAACTCGTGTGAAGATGAAAATCATCTGAACACGAGGTGGTTGAAAACCCGGGGTAACAAATTAAAAGATGCCACCAGCATCTTTATTTAATATATGTTGCATATGAATGCATTACATATTACATTAAATGAGATGCTCGTTGGTAAGAAAATGTTCACCATAAAATGTTTGTCAGAGAGAGACAAAGACTGGTGAGTTTCATACGCCCCTTCTGCGAGCGGGTAGTGACACCTGCGAGAATCAGCCTGAATCTCTGTCTCTCTCTGAAAAATGGAATCAGGGAAAGTTGTACACATCCAGTGGAATGCATCTAAATATTTTTCAAAATAATGATTTTTTTGCAAAATATGCAAACCCTGACAACGAATATAAAAAAAGTAGCGTCAGAACGATCGAAATGTCCTTTAAAATGACGATTATGCCGTTTTTCACGTGTGACTTCTTCCTCAAGGTCATGAGGTCAAAAATATTAAAGTTATTGAAATCGCGGTGAAATTTCCTTTAAAATGACCCCCATATGATAATTAAAGTTAAGTAAATTTAATTTTGGACCACACCCCTCGTGCTGTGGGAGTTAGTCCAATTTACCCAATTTTCGAAATGCGCTGAGAACTAAAGCTTAGTAACACAATGTCACTGCCGGTATCAAAATCATCATAACTCGGAATCAAAATTGTAACCAAGGCGGTTAAGTCATATATTGACCCCGCGGGGTTGATTTGACAAATTTTTGTTTAGAGTGTACCTGTCATATTTGCCGACAAATGTTAGATCGTAAAATCCATACGAAAAATACACATTTAACTAATGAAGATATCCTTAGTTACATATTTAGTACTTCATACGTATACATAGCCGATCAACAAAAATTATTACTTTTGCGTCAAAGTAACGCATCCATGGTGAAAATTTTTAACAAACAAAAAAAGGCGTGATTATTGCATAAATTTTGTGCTAAGTTTGGTGTGCACCGTGAGACACGCTAAATTTGCATTAAAAAACTGTAACCTATGGTTGAAAAATTATTGCACCCAAACGTGCTGAGATATTGCGTAAAAATACCGCACCAATATCTCGTCAATACCCACATTACATGAGGCGTTAAAATCATGCAATTTATACGCAATGAATGGTGGGTGCGAAGAGACAGGCAACGCGCGAGAGTTTGAATCTAAGAGAAGCGTGGTATTTCCTTTTCTCTCCCACCCTCGCAGTCTCGTAAATTCCCTGTTAATTTATCTGTTGTCTCAATGTCGCCAAAAAAATATTACATAATTGAATTCCCCCCTGATAAATTCAATTCAGTGCCTGTGGAGCTTGTTCCAAGTCACTGGGTTATCCCCGCAGAGAAAGTTTGTCTCTGGCCACCAAACTCTGGGCCAAGTATTAGAAATTTGATAAAAAACGGCACTGCTATTCCTGATGTCAAGTGGGGAAGAGTTAGCTACGCCAGGATTATTGGGAATTACGGTAAATAGCTATTTAATTCAAATTATGAGAAGTCATTCCAATTATTTTACATTTACTAACAAATATCATTATTTTAGATGATTATGAAGTTGCGACAAAAAAACTTCAAGTAGCCGAGGGCACTTCCAACTTGGAAAGTGAAACAGAACCAGAAAGCAGATTAAGGAGCAAGAAGATAATTCCCGATATTCAGCCCAGCAGCACACGAGGGGATGTAACGTCTTCATCCGATGAGGAGGATAGCGAAGCGAACAAAAACAGTCCTCCGTCTGGCTCACTTCTGGATAATTTGGAGCTGGGTAGGCTTATAATACTGCCACAAATATTTTATACTAATCATTATGGTGATGCTTTTTAGACCAACCATTGACCAACCTCTTTTGTTGTTGTAAATTCGCAGGAGTTAAATGATTTACGGCTGTTGATTTCAAGTTAGTACAAGCAAAATAATTTTATTAAAATTGATGTATTATGTTAACGCTTTGTAATCACGTTGCAGGGACAACGCAAAGTGTGCTAACTTTGTTGGAAAAACAGGCTGAAGACATTAAAGACATTAAGGCTTTACTGATTAATGTGAAACAAAGGCCGGATGGTAGGAAGGCTCCCAATTTCAGTGCCATTCCAAAATTACCCCTCGACAACGAGGTAGCACTGGCGGAGTTTGAATCTTGGCTCGAGGTGGATTCAAATCGCGAATTACTGGTACGATTTAATCGAGATATTTTACATGCATAATTAAACTTTAATGTTTTTTCTTATATTTGATACTAGGTTGAATATTTGACATTTTCAACTGCGACACAGATCGAGGCGAGCACTAGAAAAATCTTGAAAAAATTACTTACGAATGAATTTGGCAGTCGAATTAATTTTACGGGTAAAGGAAACAAGACATCGATGAAAAACCTAAAACTCGTAAAAGTCGTAAAAGGTGCTAAAATATATTCTAAAATGAAGAAAATTTTCTAATTGTTGGTCTCTATTTAATGTTTAATTGGATTGCAAATTTCAGAAACCGTGCGAAACGTCTTTACAGTTGAGTCCGTTCCCGATCCCCAAAATCCCAGCGGCCGTATTCCCACCGATGATATAATTCAAACTGCAGCAATGAATTGGTTTCGTTCTTCAAAAAGTAGGTGCAACGACGACGCTCCCTCGGGAATTGTATCATAATCATGGATCGAGATGGAAAATCACCGAGAAACATTAGGCGAATAATTGCAAAACGGGTTAGAGAGAATCTCACTCGTGCAAAAAACATACCTGCTATTAGTAATAATCTTGTAAATTTAGATATATGTGATTCTGTCGTTGAGGATAGCGATTCAGGTAGTAATATTAGCAATAATGATAGAAGCAGTAATGTTATCCATAATAGTGACGAGCCATTAGTTTCCGATTCACTAAGCGACAATGGTGTAGTAGAAAATAATAAGAATATTTTAGATTTAACACGGGACTTGAGGGACTGGTCGCTTCGACATAACATAACGGGAGTAGCTTTAAACGATCTTCTACGCATATTTAACTTTTATCAAGAATTTAGATTTCTTCCATTGGATAGTATGACATTGCTTAAAAACTCAATTAAATACTCTATGAAAACTATCGGTCAGGGTCAATATGCACACTTTGATGTTATTCAAAATATAAAACGGCAAATAGATTCCAATTCTATTCTTGCTTCTGGTAGCGAAATTAAATTAAACCTTATATTTAGTTTTGATGGATTGCCCATTTCTAAGAGTAACAGTAACCAGTTTTGGCCAATTCAAGCAAAGTGTGAAGAAAGTACGTACGGCGTATTTGTCGTGGGTTTATTTTATGGCAAGACAAAACCAGAAAGTATTGACGAATACTTGATGGATTTGATAGCAGAGTTAAAAAGTTTGCGAGTTGGGATTAGTTACAATAATTTGAAAATATTTTGTAAGGTTTCAAAAATAATAGCTGATGCGCCAGCCAGGAGTTTTTTAAAGCAATGTAAAAGTCATAATGCATACAATGGATGTGAGAAATGTATAGATCCAGGTTTCTGGAAGGGACGTGTAATTTTCAGAACATTCGATGGTCCACTTAGGACAGATCAAGATTTTTATGTTCAAGAAGATAAACACCACCATGTAGGCATTTCCCCGTTTACGGAGCTTAAAATTTTGATGATTTCTTCGGTTCCTCTTGACTACATGCACCTCATTTGCTTAGGTGTGGTTAGAAAACTATTTAGAAGTTGGGTAAAAGGTCCATTGCCATTTAAATTATCTTCTCGTGATATTTCAACTTTATCAAGTAAATTAGTATTATTTTCGCATAGTTGCCCTAAAGAATTTTGTCGTAAGCCGAGGTCAGTAAAAGAGTTAGATATGTGGAAAGCGACAGAGTTTAGAACTTTTCTTGTTTATACAGGACCCGTCGCTTTAAAAGGATTATTGTCGCCGAAAAAGTATACACATTTTTTAAATCTTTGCGTAGCAGTCACGATTCTTATAACTACCAAGGCGCAAGCAAATAATTGGAACGATTATGCACGACAGCTTTTATTGAAGTTTGTTAAAAATGTTCCCAATTTATATGAAGAAGAGTTCTTATCATATAATATGCATTCTCTTATACATATTAGTGATGACGCTTTAAAGCATGGCCCGTTAGATTCTTTTAGTGCTTTCGATTTCGAAAATAATATGCAAGTAATAAAGCGCTCGCTACGAGCTCACTATAAACCTTTTGAGCAAACTGTGAATCGCACTGCTGAGAGAGAAAATCATAAGTACCAGTCCCCTGTGAATTTAAATAGACACTGTATTATAAAATCGAACGGAAAGGATCATTGTTTTATATTAAAGGATGGGAAAGTAGTTGTTATAAGTAGTATAAGTAAAGATAAAAAACATATAAATTGTAGAAAATTCAAACACTCGGACAACTTGTTCACTTGTCCGTGTGAAAGTAAAATTTTAGGAATAATTAAAGTTAGCAAATTATCAAATAGCGTAACCATAATAGGTATTAATGATATTGATAAGAAATGTTGGTTACTCCCGTCGGATAGAATAGATGAAAACATTTGCATTCCCTTGTATAATATAACAATATAATTTTTGTTATGAAATAAATGATTTTGATAAAAATTAATAATTCGTGTTATTTGACTGCAGTAATTGCATGGAGTTTAACTGCAAGTTTTGCATCAAATTATTCGTTTCTTTTGCGCAATATTCTACGCTCTAAATTGCATTAATTTGACGGTTATTTCTACGCAATATTCTTGAGGCTAAATTGCATGAATATGACTGTCAATTCTATGCAATATTGACAGTTTATTTTACGTTAAATATCTAGTATCTTTTCACGGATTTTTGCCGGCCATCAGTTGCTGCAATTTAACTGTATGACTTTTGCGTAAAACTGATAGCTTTTGTTGATCGGGTATGTACATATGTGTACATATACATATGCATGTATGTATGTACTCTTCATCCATGGAACCTTATGGCTAAATACTGAGGATGAGCAATGTTAAAAATGGGGGTTTCCTATGGAGCTAGATTTAGCCCTGGCTCAAAGTTGTATCCATGGATGAAGTGTATGTATTTAATTGCTTGTGTAATATTACGGACAGGATCCCCAATATAGAGTACCCTACTTTACTTTAAATTAAGTTAATTTTACTCTGAATGATGTAACAGGCCAAATTACTTTTCGAAAAATAACCATAATTTCTAAGAGTGTAAAGGATGGTGAGATTAAAATAGATGTACCTTCTGTTCCTCGGTTGAAACCTTTTCTGAACAACAACAGGTGTCATTAATGTTGGAACTCATTTCTAAAATAATTCCTAATCAACAAACCTTTAAACGTGCAGAGTAAAAACAAATATAATTGCAAATTATTTCAATGCCAAACACTTTGCATGCTACATATGTAAAGGAAAAAAATGATTACGAAAACACTAATGCAAGTCTTTTACGTGTAAAACTCAGATCTCAATGAGACCAATTTTATTTTGTTCACCACAAAAAAAACATACCCGTATGCAAAAAAACTTATACAATAACATTGTGCACCAACGACGATATCTTGGACAATAGATTATTTTTATTTTTATCATTATTCTAAAACTGAATTGTTAATATTTCTCTACCCTAGAATTTTCTGCACATTTAATTCTTCTTCGCAGAGGACAACAATTTGTTTATCGTGTCCAGCGTGTCTCTCCCAACGTATAACCGCTCACCATATTTGTTTCCCACACCTCCAGCTTGGCCTATTTTATTCCCCTCGGAATCCAATACCATTTCAATCCTTGACGCTAAACTTGTGGCAAACTGGACCCAAAATTTGGGAAGGGCTCCAGACACTCTCCCCTCGTCGGCGTCATCTTCATCTTCCAAATATGAAATTTCTGACAGTGCCGCAACCAAATTTCTGTATTTTTTCACATCGCCTAAAAGTCCTTTAGCATCGGAACCAAACTTCTCAACCAGTTGGAAAAAATACGTCAAAAATATAACCTCCTCTAAGCAATTTTCAGATTCCTTTGTCCAATCTTCTAACAATCTGGTGCAACTATACAAGTTCGTCACCAGTCTAATAAACACGACTCCTACTTCAAAGTCTATCGGGTCTGAGGTACATGCAAATAATGCTGCTTGTACGATATCAGGAGGCCTCGAATTCATAAAATCGAACAAATTATACCCCATTTTTTCGGATATTCGAAAAAATTCCAACATGTAGGATAGAACGTTCTGCTCGAAATATTCTTCATAGTCTTCCTCCATCTCTTCATACCTACCAAGAATTGCAGTAAATCCTTCATAATATATTTTTTCTGTATCCTTATCTCCGTAAAAATTAAAGGTTTTAACATGACTGCCAAAATTATAGAGATTATCTAAAAATTGTTCCCCGTCGTCGATGTAATCCAGGTTGAAGAAATCTTGTAAGGATGTATTTAAAATGGTTGGCGAAATCCCAGCTTTTAAAAATAGCGGGAACAACTTGTTATAATCTGAGTGTTTGTGACAAATTTGTATAAATTTTTGCACAAGGTGGGGATCTTCTAGTTGGATGAATTTATTGAGAACTTTTTCAAAATGAGGTTTTTAAAGCAGTCGTCGTATTCGGTTTTAAGTGTTAATTGATCCAAAGAAATATCCAGCATTACCAGATTATTAGCAGCGTGTTGAAATTCGGGAGTTTTTTCCATATTGTGATACCTCGCTAGGAACAAGTAGGTCTGAAGTCGCCAAAAGGGAAAACCTCTGAGCCAACATCTATTATGGAAAATATTTTCACCCACGAAAAAAATGTACATGTCCACACTTGATTCATCGCCCGCGTCATGTTGCTTCCGCAACATTTCTAGTTCCGCGAGGTCACCCCATGTGAGATGAAATCGTACACCTTCGTCATCGGGGATTTCATTGTTTGCTTCGTCTTGTATAAATGTACGGTATGCTTCCTCCACCTGGGGGTCCGGACTTGTTAATAGTGTCAATTTTTCGATATTGGAATATTCGGGGAATGCAACGTATTGAGTTTCTAATTCTGGGGGTCCTTCGCGATAAGTAAAAATCTCGTGGAACAGAGTGACCTGATTGTCTTGAAGAACATCGTGGAGAAAATTGGAAACCGCGGAAGGTTTCAGATTCCTGTTCGAATATTTTACTACCTTTACCAGATCATGGGTTTCCTTCCATTCTTGAATGACTTGGGTAAGACTGGGCACAATATTTTGGATGGTGGGAGCTTCCGGTAGAAAATTGATTTTGGATTCTATGACCAAATTGTAGATTAAGAAAGTCCTACTTCCAGACAAGATGGGGTCATGTTCAAGTTTATTGAAGAATGCGAGACATTTGACATCGCCAGTGGGGATGGAGAAGTCAAATTCTTGCCTTGTTTCCTCATATCTGAAGCGGAAATTGCCTCCTGTATAGAGTGAGGGCAGCTGGAGGATGACATGACCAAAACTTTTATCCGATTCTTCATCTCTGTTGCGTAGTTGATTAAGCTCTGGGGGACATGGGGTTCCGGGTTTCTGGATAATTAACTTTTGCAAGGAAATGGATATGCGTTCGGTCTCCAAACCTAACTGAGCCTTAACCCCATTTAACATCCCTTCCTCCAGTCTTGACCAATCTAGGGGGTTAGTTGGCTGTCAGAAAAAAAACAATGTATTACAAAATAATTTAAATCCAAATTATTTTTTAGTAGGAAAATATATTTATTATATTTAAACGATAATAAATATGGATATAAGAATAATTAGTTTAATAATTGATCCAAAGTAATCATTTAGTAATCATTTGTACCTCAAACTTTGACGGCAATAATTCCTCAATTGTGAAAGTTCCTTCCGGTGATATTGGGAACTTCAAAACTTTTCCGGTCTAAAACGGAAAAAAGTGTTAGATAGTTTGATACATAAATTGCAAACAATTGCCGCATTATTATACGGGAGAATTATTGATTACGGAAATCCGTCATGAACAATATAATCATTTCAATTTACATTAAACCTATAAAATACCTGGTAGAGAATTAAATAGTGCCTCAAGTTGTATGAAAAACTTAAAGATAACTAATCATTATCATTTACATACCTCAATTAATTTTAGCTCAATTTCAATATCCGGCACATTTTCTCGTTTTGGGTCAACCACAAATTCCCCTGTTCTAACCAGGGTCGAGAATTGGTCAAAATATTTTAGTAATTTTACTGTGACCGGGTCCGCCATCCTAGGGATTTTTGTTGCCGGTGGGTAGCCCATGTTGTAATCAGGATGTGATGACGAGGATGATGTAGAGTTATCATTTTCAATATCATCCGAATTGCTGGCTTCTGGCCATCTAGCACGAATATATTTATAAACAAGAATTATTTTGAAGTATGTATAAGCATGATTGATGATAGGAATAACTATTTTATGCATTACATTGTCGATAATAATTGAATATAACAACGTGATATAAAATAAAAACAATTCATCCCCCATGAATAAGATTCTTTAACAGAGATATGTTTATAAGTAATAAATATCTTACCGAAAGTTATGTGCTAATTTAATTGATTGGAAACGAATATTTATGCTGGTTTACTAAAAAACCGAATGTTTTGTTATTATGAAGTAGGAATCAATATCTAAAATCATATGTTGTACCACCACTAACTATTTATGTCCTTGAAGTTATCCGAAGCCCGACGTGAAGTAGCCGAACATCCGAAGTAACGTTACCGTATTCGGAGTAAATGTGTTTTTGCCTGGATTTGCTCCTAGCATAGGATTCATTTACTCGTCATACATATGTACAAACTTATGTAAAAAATATGGAAACTAAATATTTGTACTATATGAAAAAGCTTTCTTTGGTGATGCGAAATCAGTGGCGAATATGTTTGTACAAAAGAAGAAAACAAGAGGGTTATTGTTTCTGGAGATATTTGCAAATTATTTGCACGACTTTTATGTGTAAAAAGCAGACGGCCGATATGTACGCATATATTTAGAACTTTTTCAAACCAAATCAGATCGTACTACAACTTCCTATACTGACAACCCATTTAAGCACGATCGCAAAAATTCAAACATATTTTACCAGATTTTACATAATTTCATATTTTTAGAATTTGTCGTGCATATACATATCTATTTTCCTGTATATTTCCTGTATTTATAAAAATATAAATATGTTCGTAGATATTTGAAAGGTCTTCATGCAAAATATTTTTCTTCATTCAGAAATTTAGGTTTCCACAAAATTATATTTCATACATACATATAGTAGAAAATTCAAGTTAAAAAGCATTATTTACTAGCGTATAAGCCCGTCTCCCGCCGGGCGAGAGATGATTAGATTATCAAAATTTCACCAGTTAAATATTTTGTATATATTTATTTTAAAAAAAACAATTTGACGCGAACGGAAGTGAAAGGAATTTGCAACGCAAGTTAGAGTGCACAATTAAATGTCACCCACTTGGCTCTGTCATCTCTGCCATCCCAGTCTGCCATATCTACCAGCCTAGTCTGCAATTGGCAATGGCAGTGCCAGTGGCAGTTTGTCTGGCACCCATTTGGCTCTGCCATCTTTACCAGCCTAGTCATTGGCAATGATCTGCATTGGCAACCACACCCAAACGACAATCCATCAAATAACTACTCCCAGATAACCACCACCAGGCAGCCACGTCCCGATAACCACTTGCAATCTTGTTTAGTGCAAACATGTGCACACTAAGCACAAATAGTTCATGACATGAAAATCTTGTTTAGTGCAAACATTTGCACACTAAACACAAACAGTTCATGGCATGAAACGACGATCTTGTTTAGTGCAAACATTTGCACACTAAACACAAATAGTTCATGACATGAAAATCTTGTTTAGTGCAAACGTGTGCACACTAAACACAAATAGTTCATGACATGAAAATCTTGTTTAGTGCAAACATGTGCACGCTAAACACAAACAGTTCATGACATGAAAATCTTGTTTAGTGCAAACATGTGCACACTAAACACAAATAGTTCATGACATGAAAATCTTGTTTAGTGCAAACATGTGCACACTAAACACAAATAGTTCATGACATGAAAATCTTGTTTAGTGCAAACATGTGCACGCTAAACACAAACAGTTCATGGCATGAAACGACGACCTTGTTTAGTGCAAACATGTGCACACTAAACACAAACAGTTCATGGCATGAAACGACGATCTTGTTTAGTGCAAACATGTGCACACTAAACACAAACAGTTCATGGAATGAAACGACGATCTTGTTTAGTGCAAACATGTGCACACTAAACACAAACAGTTCATGGAATGAAACGACGATCTTGTTTAGTGCAAACATGTGCACACTAAACACAAACAGTTCATGGCATGAAACGACGATCTTGTTTAGTGCAAACATGTGCACACTAAACACGAACAGTTCATGGCATGAAACGACGATCTTGTTTAGTGCAAACATGTGCACACTAAACACAAACAGTTCATGGAATGAAACGACGATCTTGTTTAGTGCAAACATGTGCACACTAAACACAAACAGTTCATGGCATGAAACGACGATCTTGTTTAGTGCAAACATGTGCACACTAAACACAAACAGTTCATGACATGAAAATCTTGTTTAATGCAAACATGTGCACACTAAACACAAACAGTTAGTCCAGTGGTATGTACTGCACTGGCTGTTATCGGAGAGTGGTTATCATGGGTGGTTATCTGGGGGTTGTCAGACAGTGATTATCTGGGGGTTGACAGACAGTGATTATCTGGGGGTTGTCAGACAGTGATTATCTGGGCGTTATCAGATAGTGATTATCTGGGGTGGTTGTCTGATGTTGATTATATGTGAGTGGTTGTCTGTCGAGGTTATCTCGTGTGGTTATTTGGGAGTGGTTGTAAGCGAAAAATAATTTTGTTTTAAATTAAAATTTTTGAATTTTCGCGCCATTCGAAATTTGACTTTCTCCACTTTCACTTCCGTTGAGGACAAATTCCTTGGACAGACATTTCCAGCTTATAATATAGATGTGCATATTTTCGAGTTTTTTATGCACCTCTTGCACAATGGGTCCGCGTAACTTTGAAACTCTGTAAAACAACTGTGTTTTGCACTAAATAAATAAATTCTAATAAATTAATGAAATGTATTTTTAACCGCCTTATTGATTGTAAATATATATATTTTGGATTTATTTATATATCCAAATGCCTGGATTTGGTCTACTGCCCCTGGCATAGGGGAATTTTTTTTCTCCATTTACTGGCTAGGTTCGGTTCGGAAAATTTTTAAAAAATTGCTGATTCGGTTCTGTTCGGTTCTAATTTTTTTTTAATTGCTGGTTCCGTTCGGGAAATTTTTTTAAAACATTTATGGGTTCGGTTCGCTTCGATTCCCCAAATTAGCAAATGTTCTCGACAATTTATTTATTTATCTACTAGTATTAAATTACCACTAGCAAAGTTTTCACACAAGTTCTAAATTATTTTCATCATGAAACAAATTCAAGCAAAAACATTTCAATTTTCACTACTCTAAGAAACCCAGTAATTAAGTTGTTACCAGGTGGGGGGTATATGTGACTCTACCGGATGGTACTTAATTTATGCATTATCGAGTGGTAGAAAATTAGTTACGAACTGGTAATATTTTCAAATTTCGCGACCAGGGTTATTACCGGTTTGGTAACAAAGTGTGTACCACTCAATAATAAATAAATTACCTTGCGGTAGAGTCACATACTTACTCCGCCTGGTAATAACTTAATTACCGGGTTTCTTAAAGTGTATAAAATAAATCAGTCTTTAGAAAAGGCACCACTTCAAATTTTTAACGTTTTCCTTGACCCGCAAACGCTCGCCAGGCGGCCACCCCATCACTCGTCCCAAGCTCCTTGTGACACCTTTTTTGAAATTGTTATGTAAATAATTTTGGTTTACACAATTTTTGAAAATGTTTTCAAAATTCCTACCTTTTGCAGCTGTGTATGACATCATGATAGGCATCATTCGCCCTTGCCCATTCCCTTGAAAAGAGCATTGCCCCTGTAAAAATCGCTACACAAATAGCGCCCGATCCAAGTCCTACCATCCAATTTGTTTTCACGGCGATAATAATTGTGCAGAGAATGGTGAGAAATCCGAGCAGAATCATGCTACAGGCGTATCTCGAGTTCATAAGTTCTTTAGCCGCCTCATTCTCCGCGACGTTAGTTTCCGTCTCCATGGAAACCTTACAGTACGGACATGTAACTAAGATTGGCTCTCGACCGTTTTGTGCAATTTGAGAAGAATTCCCAACCAGAGCTTGGACCTCGTCTGCTGTAAAAGTTGCGGGTTGGGCGCAAACCGGGTGAGATTCTATGTCGTACATAATCTGCAAAAAATATTAACGGCAATTTAACTAATATTTATTAGTACAAAAAATCGTGCCCTTGGGAAACTTAGAAACTAGACAAATACAGTTTTCCAGGCAATCTTTGTGTATGTAGAACAAAATTTATTTCTTTTATTTAAAATTTTATTTCTTAATAAATATTTAGTTTTTAGCCCGCGGTAATTAAAGGCTTACGTAATTATCACGGTGTCTTATAAATTCACCATAGTAATCATACATAATGCCAATTTATAATTGATGACAAACCTTACCTCGTGCTAAATAAGGCTGCAGTTTAGCTTTATCAACCGGCGTTTCGCATGTAAATAAGAAATGAAAGAAAACCACATGCAAAGATGTATGGGTGCAGTTGCATAAAACGGGGAATTGTTAGTTGGTGGTAACTATGTCAAGTGAATGCAGTCTTATTATAACGAACACTGTTCCATTCCCTGTGCTCGAAGGGAATTTAGTAAATACGGTCAGGTTTTAGTAGAGGCACGCATAAGCATGGACATCCTCGCACTCCACGTATGTAGGACTCGGAGGAAAGTGCAATAAAATTTTTGCATGGTTTTTGTGAGTCACAACCTGATTCGGGATTTCATTCGCGTATTTCATTTAGTTCTTTGTAACCATGCAATGCTACACGGGAGAAGCAGAAATGTAAGAAAGTGCATGTTTCCATGATATACATACATACAGAAACATACGAAGAAAAAACTATATGTAACTATGGAAATTAAATATTGTACAAAAGTGGAAAACAAGAAGTTTATTATCTATGAAGGTTTTTGCTAACCATTTTCACGACTTTTACATGCACTCTTAGCAAAACGGTATTGAATCATCACCAAACGGGGAGCCCACATGACTTAACCAAATTGTGATAATATTTACCCCACATTGTGATAAATCTTCCCCACAATGCAATGTGTTAAATCCTCACTATCTAGTGTTACGTTTACACATTGTGGGGAAGATTTATCACAATGTGGGGTAAATATTATCACAATTTGGTTAAGCCATGTGGGCTTCCCGTTTGGTTATGATTCAATACCGTTTTGCTAAGTGTGTAGGTATGTGTAATAAGAGGTATTCGCTTTGTAAGTAGACGTCTTTGCACATGTAATTAGCATTAACATGGTGTCTAAATTTAAATATGTAGGTAATCTGTAAGGCTTTAAAAATATCAAACAAATAAAAAAAATCTCTGCAAGTTTGCACATGCTAACCGTGCCTGGGAGAGTGAATTTCTTAAAAATGATGTTTATTTAGAGCTCATTTTTGAAGAGAATGGAAAACGGATCGTTAATTCTGTGGGGACTGGGTTTCTCCACAGACTTACCGATCCTTTTTCCATTCTGTCCAAAAATGAGCCCTAAACATCATTTTTAAGAAATTATTTTTGTGCCTGCGTCCCAGGCAGCCTTAAGTATTTAGTTCATGGTAATTTCGTAAATAAATAGCTGCATTAAATACGCATGTATGATTTCGTGGCATAAATTTATCTGAACTTACAATTAAACAAAGCAATTTAATTTACACAATTCGATGTGATCTGTATGAAAATAATTTAAATCCTGTAATGCTTCTGTATTATATAAAACCAATTAATTTTAAGTTAAGGTGCAATTTATAGTTGAGAAATAGTTTAGCAATAAAAAGTTGGCTTGGCTTTTACCCGTTTTAGCTTAAGAATTTGCTTAAGGAAATTTTAGAACTTATTTTTCACCATGTACCTTATAATGGAGGTCTCATAACGTGTGTTCACACATTTGGACCAGACTAGCGTCAATTGATCATAAATATAATTAGTATTTGGATTCATTCAAAAGTTGAAGTTTTTTAAAAATTAAATTTTCATGACAATTTTAATTCGTGTGAATGATTAGAAAATCCAGTTTGTCCCATCTTGTAAGTCAAAAAATACCACTGAAAATCTCTAAATGGAACTATTGACCCGATATGAGCATTAAAATTAAATGCTGATATACATGATTCGCTGATAAAAATGTTAAAAATTTAAATTTTGTCAAAGATAAAATGTACGTAAATGTACATATTTAGTAGAAGACTTAAGTATATAGAACACATTTTTTATGTGCATATTTTGGAGTTTTTGAAGTACATATTACATACATATTTTGAGGATGATGTGCAAAGGCTGTTGGCTATGATGCAATAAATCAATTATTATTATACATATTTTGAGGAATTTAAGTACATACATATCCGCCCACTGTTCATTAATAAGTACTATTAGAGATAAAAGAGGTACAAATAAATCTCTACAAAACGTACATAAATCTCTACAAAATCTCTACAAAACTCAACAAGTTTTGTTTGGAGCTGCAGCTCCAGTTTGTCGGGAACCCAGGCATACATACTTACTATGGTTATATTACTGCGTAGACTACATGTTATTCTTGTTTATGGGGCTATCCATATATTACGTCATCAAAAATTCTTGATTTTAGCACCCACCCACCCAACGTAAACATTACGGGATAGAGAATTTTAACATGGGAAAGATAGGAAAAACTAAACCATCCACCCACCCACCCACTAAAATGATGACGTAATAGATGGACGTTCCCCATGCATAAACATCACAAACGAACCGGCTGCACATACAAACAAAGTTTCTCGGAACTGCTGATTTCATTTCTGACTCAATCTACGCAGTTAAATACATATGTGAAAACATGCATGGTTCTAGTTAGTTAGTTATCCAGTTTATTCAAGTGTCAAAATCCCACGGTACAATTAAGACTTACGACGCGAAGACAAACACAACCTCTCAATATAAAATTAAATAAAGCCAAATTTAAACTAACAGTCTATTAAGATAATTAATAGTAACAAAAAAATGTTATTTGTTACATATTTTAAAGTAATAAACAAAGTCGTCGCTTCTCTTTTCAAGTAAACAACTAAATATTTAGGCCTGATCTAAAACAGAGATTTGGATTTTCTAAATGAACAATTTCTTGGATTTTCTAAATTAACAATTTCTTTGGAGACGGAATTCACACAGCGAGGAAGAGTAGTAAATACATATTAGAATTTTCATAAAGTTTACTATCATTAAATTCCAAATTGAAGCTGCTACAGAAAGTGTTCGAAACCTGTGGTTCAAGTGACAAATAAATAAATAAAGATATTTACATATGTGCATATGTGTCAATATTTAAAATTATAAGAAAAGGTTAAATTTAATTTCTATGGCGACCCAATTTACACCCGGAACCGGATCTGATCCTACGAGCACATTAGAAATTTCAATTTCGTGCAGGTTGCAATTGTTTATGTTCTGAGACAAATTTGGCGTACTCACGTCAACCTTCGCATATCTCGCATATCGAGCATAGCAACATAACTTGCAAAGTTTTGCGAAAAAATTTTCTGGAAAACCATGGCATTTTTTTCGCAAAGTTACCCAGCAATTGAGTATGTTCTTATTTCGCAAGATTATTTCGCAAACTCATCTTTACCATCGGCAGCAACAGAAATGAAAGAAATCTATGGAAACATTACCAAAATATGTAGGTGTTTTCTGTAGATTTGAGAGATAGGAGAGATTTGCGAAGTCATATTTTTCGAATTCCCTCACGACAGAAATATTTACTTTGATCTTCGCAAGTTTGGCAAATGAGTTGCGATACGAAATAAGAAGTTGTCGTGAGTACGCCCATTGGGGAGCGTCCATAAATCACGTGATCGATTTTTGGACAATTTTGACCCCCTCCCCCCCTTGGTGACCGTTGGTGATAATTTCGACCCCCCCACCGGTCACGTGACAGGAGATGATGCTTAAATCAACTTATGTTGTCCAGAATAACCATATTATTCCAGTGTTGTTTAAATCATTAATCAAATTTGAGCTACACAAATTTGTAAATAACCATTTAATGCGCCAGTCAGACATACATAAGAATTTTAAGTCGAAGCAAGTTTTTAAATATGCAAAATGAAAATCAAATCTATATAACGTGCGTGTGGTATGCCAAGTACCAAGAGAATTTATAACTCTCATGACATTTATTGTCATATCGTCGTACTAATTCATAAAAGACCTAAGTGCAGTCAGGGCCCGTGAGAGGGGCGGGCAAGCCGGGCAGTTGCCCGGGGCGCTGAGACGCCGAGGGGCGCCGAAAGGCGCCTACAAGTCTATGATATGATGCCAAGTTATTTATTAGCAATTTATAAGCGTAGTAAATACATTTTTGGACCTGATTGATGTAAAATTCATCTTTTGAATATTCCCTGAAGCAATGAGTGATATTTTTCAGTTGCCTTTGAGTAAGCCATCACTGGTGTTTGTAGCTTAGATTTCTGTGGTTCTGTTATCAAAACTCCAAAGCTTATTCGGAATTTTGCTCTTGTGGGATTTTTGTACGTCTTGAGGCAAATTAAAATAAACTTGTTTTAACTATTACGATAAAATTAATCAGTAATAATTAAATGTTCGGACTGAAATTTTGAACATTTTCATGCGTGACATGAATTTTTAAGACCATTGACATGTTCTCAAATCCTACTTAGATTCTTGAATAAATCGAATTTTTTAGCCCTGGAGTACTTGTTTTTAGAAAAACCTCGGTTCTTTTCGAAAGTTTCCTTTGAGTTTAATAAAGTAATACACTCGACCCCTTCATACAAAAGCACGTGCGCAAAAATTTAAATTGTTTTTCCCACACACAATGCGACTGTTTAAAATGAAAAATTCAGATTTAATTGGATGAATTTTATTTTATCAAGGTGCTAAATTTTAAAAGGTTTTCCAGTTGTAAACTCGTGGTTTTCAAAAGCCTTGAGCTTTTCGAATTTTGCTGCGTGTTAGAAAGTTCGAAAGCATGTTTCTGTATAAAAAATTGAATCCTTGATTAATGAAAATCCAACCTTAGCAAAATTTTAAATTAAAGATATTTTTGCAAGTTTATGAAATATCTAAAAGCAAATTCCGGCGAACTTTTAAATTAAAAAAAATATTGCAGACGAATGTCTAATACCAATGTCAAGTAACCAATCAATTTTTCGAAATTTTCAAATTGGAAAAGTTCCAAAATTTAAAAAGCCACATGTTTTGGCTAGAAAGCAATTTAAAATGAAAATATCGGGCTCAAATTAGCGAATTCTGAAAGAAAAAAAAAAATTGGGAATGCTTATTTTCCTACTGAAAAAAGTAAAATTGGTCCCATATGCATCTGGATTTTTAAATGTATATAAAAGATCTACATTTAGATTTCTCTCGCTGTGCTCGTTAAAAAATCGAATTATTAGTTCTTTGACGATTTTAAAATATGATTACAGCCTTTAGCGCCTTGGAAAAATTATTTGCATAGAATATAAGAATCACATTAGATAAATATGAAGAAAATGTGAGAAAATTATGAGAAAAATATGAAAAAATATGAGAAAAATCAGGGGCGCTCAAATATATTTTGCCCTGGTAATTATTTGGGGTCGCACGGGCACTGAGTGCAGTCAATGCTAAATTCAGAAAACACCTAGGTGCAGTCGGTGTTTAATTCAGAAACGACCGATGTGCAGTCGATGCTCAATTAAGAAAAGACCTAAGTGCACAGAAAAAAAAGTAAAAAAAGACCTATGTGCAAGTATGTATTTACTTATGGCTAAATCTTGCCAAAATGATTTTTCATATATATCGCGCGATTTAGCCATAAGTAAATACATACTTGCACATAGGTCTTTTTTTACTTTTTTTCTGTGCACTTAGGTCTTTTCTGAATTGAGCATCGACTGCACTTCGGTCTTTTATGAATTAGTACGACGATATACAAACGTTAGAAACTTTACTCTTGTCACGTGACATCTGACCATCTACCCCCCCCACCGTGATAATTGGTGACAAATTTCAGACCCCCTCCCCCCCTCTAATCGATCACGTGATTTATGGACGCTCCCTTAGTAACTACAAAAATAAATAAAACTATTAATTTTTTGGATATTGAACTTTACAGAAATCTCATAGACAAAGACACATTTTCTCGATCAGACCCAATGTGTGTGGTTTTCCACCCATCCCCCACCGGGTCGGGTGGGTGGGAGGAGTTGAAACGCACCGAAGTTATTTGGGACTGCCTAAATCCCGACTTTGTGACAAAATTAGTGATCGACTACAGATTTGAGGTTGAGCAGAAACTCCGTTTCGAAGTTTATGACATAGGTAAAAAATTATGTATTTTGAATTTGTCAAACATGACAAGAACGGAACTAATTTCTTGACTTGGTGAATTGATTAACAATTAACAATTCACCAAAGTTATAAACATGTTAAAAAAAGATTTTTATGTGCCTACAATGAGGAGGTGTGAAGTGGTTATCGCCGATATCGACCAGACTAATTTTAAGTTATACACGCTCAAAAATAAGTGGACCAGTATTGTTGCGTTTTCCTGAATGGGCATTTTTACGCTCGTGACGGAATTTAAAAAAGAATTCAGCCAAAATCCGGATTTTTAAAAACGCCGCAACTTTTCGAATTTAAACTTCCTTGAAAATATAACAACTCATTTTTCAAAAATCTAGAAATTTGATATTTTCATGCATATCTTAATTTCTTAAAAATGCTAAAAACGGCAATTTTTTGAAATTTACGATTTTTTTGAAAATAAATTTTTACAATTTCGGCAAAGTAATTTTGAGCAAAAATTGGGTTTAACTTTTGAAATCGGGTTAAAATTCGTATGGTAACAGTGGTTTTTAAAATAAGGATTTTTGCTGAAATGTTTCTTCTAAATTCCTCCACGGGCGTAAATATCCCATCCTGGAAAACTACTTTTAAAAATTTTTTGAAACAATTCTTATTTTTGAGCGTGAAAAAATTCGTCTGGTTGGTCGATATCGGTATGGCCAGCTTCTATTTCTTATACATGTAATTGTAACTGTTTAACATACATTAATGAGGATTTTAGTAATGTGGATTAAAAAAGAAATAATGCCCTCTCCAATTTCAGACTCACCCAGTTCAAACCTGGCTAATCACGATTTTCTCGGTTGTGTGGAAACCAACGTTGCACAAATCGTGTCCAAAGGCTTTAACGGGCTCACCCTCCCACTTCAGTTGGACAAAGGAAAATATCGCCAAATGAAAACTGCCAATACCCGCGGAACAATTACTTTACTCGCTGAGGAACTCGTACAATACAAGGAAGAGGTTAAGTAGTGAACATTTATTCCATTTTAACGTGCACTTGCACGAGGTTTGAGTTTTAATTGTTGTGTCTCAACTTTCCCTTCTTCCATATATTCAAATGCTTATTTTGAAAGCTATTCATCTCCGTGGGTTGTTACAATATGAAGATCTTAATGCAGCTAGAAATCGATAATTTTTATGTTTACAAAGTTAGGTGTCTAGAAATTTGATTTTTCTCTTCAATAACAAAATGTTTAGTTTTTACTTATTATTTTTCATCTATTCCATATTTATTTCCTCATAGAAGAAAAAAATCAAAACTCTACTGACGTAACTTAGTAAGCCTAAAAATTATTGATTTTTAGGTGCATTAAAATCTGCATATTATGCAGATGTTGGGTTTTTTCACAATATTATTGTGAAAAAACCCAAGAAGATGAATAGGTTTTAAAATCGCTATTTAGAAAGCTGAGATAGAAAGTTTAGAAAGGAAGAATAGAAAGCTGAGACAGGAAGTTTAAACTCAAAACCCGCATACAATGGACCTTTAGGAAATGTTCAACCAACCTATTACTTTTTTCTTAGGTAATTTTCAAATTGGAAGGATACTCAATGAGCGGTTCATACCTCATGGGGATGTTCAAATCCTCGATATTTTTCACCTTATCAAAAATAACGGAATCCGGGAACTACACGATTGTCTATAGAAGTCCAGAAGTTAAAGGTCCCAACCCTTCCTGGCCCCCTGTCACGATATCCATGCGAACCTTAGCGAACGGGGATAAGGATCGCTGTCTCCGAATAGAAGTTTGGAAGTCGGGTGTTAACGGGTATCATAAAAGCTTGGGGATTGTTCATACCACCGTTTCCAAAATGCTGGCAGACTTAAGACAAAAGATTTGGATCACTGGAAATAATGGGAAGGTTAGTAATTATTTAGGTACATGGTTAATCTATATTATAAGACAGAAATGTCTGTGCCGGAACGGAAGTTGAGATAACCACAAATCACCACCCGACAACCATCCTAAGATTACCTTCAGAAATTTATTTTTTTTGAATTTTCATGCCATTCGAAACTTGACTTTTCTTTATTTTCGCTTCCATTATCGAAAGTCATTTCCAGCTCAAAGTTCTCGCTCTCCCGGGGGGATACGGGCTTATTCGCTCGTTACATATATAACTGATTACTAAATCTTATCTTATAGGAATCAAAGTCCAGTATTAAGTTTACTCAATTAAGCATCGTTCCCGTCTTCACATTTATGGATTATATTTCCAGCGGGACACAAATACATTGTTGTTTCGCCATCGACTTTACAGGAAGTAATAAATAAATCGTTTGTTTATTACCAAAATATTTGTATTATTTTAATTTCAATTTAAAATTAATCTAGGCAACGGCGATCCCTCCGATGCACACTCCTTGCACCATTTCACGACGAGTGATCTACGTGGAAACCCGTACGAGCAGGCGATTCAATCTGTCGGTGAAATAATTCAGGATTACAACCCCACTAAATTATTTCCGGTGTATGGTTTTGGAGCAAGGATCCCTCCCCTGGGGGTTGTCTCGCACAATTTTCCGGTCACTTTAAACCCTTCTAATCCACATTGCAATGGGATTAATGGTGTCATTGAGACCTACAGGTTAATCCCAGTAATAAATTTGGTACACCCTTAGAAATGACTCTACCGCCATGTTTATAAATTTGCCAGTGATTACAACTGTCACCGACTAATTATAAAAATTTATCGACTTGGTATTAAATTATCACCAGAGCTATTAAATTTATATGTAATCAGTTGGTGACAAATTCATAACCACGGCGATATACGTACACATTTTGGTTATAATCGTAACCTCATTTCTAAGAGTGTGGAATTAAATTACATTTAATTTTTAAATTGTGCATTTGTCCATTTTGCAGAAACTGCATTAGGCAAATTCAACTGTTTGGACCAACGTAAGAATTTTACAATTTCATTCCCTGAATTCTGGGTGTATTCAAATTTAAATTTAAGCGTGGTTTTCCAGAAATTTTGCTCCAATTATTCGCGACATGGCAAATACAGCGAGAAGATCGGCGGATGGGAAACATTACCACGTCCTTCTTATCATTACGGATGGAATAATTACAGACATGCCACAAACTAAGGAGGTTGGACAAATGAAATTCAAAGGTTTTACAAATTCTAATCCTGATTTTCTACTTAATTTACCCTATTTACATAGATAATTGTTGAGGCGGCTGTCCTTCCCCTCTCGATAATTATCGTGGGCGTGGGCAACGCGAACTTTGACGCGATGCAAGAACTCGACGGCGACACTGTGCGGTTATCTTACCAGGGGAAACTTGCGTCTCGGGATATCGTCCAATTTGTCCCTTATCGAGATGCCTATTCCTGGCTGGCTTCCGTTTCCCCAGGGGCACTGACAACTTCCTCGTATGAAAGTACGGCCCGTCTGGCTAAAATCAGATTGGCGCAAGAAGTCCTGGCAGAAATTCCGGAACAGTTGACGTCATTTATGAAAAGCAGAAATATTTTGCCAGGAAACAATTGAAATTAATACTCAGAAATATATTTGATTATTAAACGTATTTGAAATATGCTTATTGATCAGAGTGTAAGTTATATTCGAAGAATTATTCAGCACGAAATGAAAAATCTGCCACAAAGTAAATATTGCCTAGAGATGTGCAGGGCCGGCATTTTTCATTGCCCGCCCTACCCTATACCCTACTTGGCCCTGCCCTGCCCTACCCTACCCTATAGGGTAGGGTAAAACTGAAACCCGGGCCTGCCCTACCCTAGAAAAATAAAGCCCGCCCTAGCCCTACCCTAGATTTTCTTTATCAATAAAAACCCTACCCTACCCTATAGGGCTTTGGGCCCAGGCCCTATTCATAATTGTTTATGTAAATCGTTTAAAGCAACTAATAATATTAATATATTATTAGTTCGCAATTATGATGATTAAAAAAAAATTATAATGCCATTAAGACTTCAAAAATGGTCTAGTAATTTTGTAAATCAAACTTAATTTCGTTAACGTTTCCACCGGACAAAAATGAACTTCTTGGCTCTCGTACTCGTGTGGTTGAACAATTCTTATATCTATGGAATTTGACGCAAGAAATTTAAGTCTTCTTGCAACTTTCCAAATTTTGTGTCGCCACACCAGTAACAAATCTCAACATGGAGTAGTCAATCTCCATAGTATAATCAATTTTAAGTACTTGTAACACAAGTGAATTAATACAGCAGAAAGATGACAAGATTGTCCCGCGTCTCATTTCTAATCGCCTGCTCGATGGTTGACTGCGTTATAGTAAAACGGAAAAGCCCTACCCTGCCCTACATCATATTGGTGTACATACAAAAAAGCCCGCCCGGCCCTATACCCTACTTAGAAAAGCCCTACCCTACCCTGCCCTTAAAAATTCAGGGTAATAAAAGCCCGCCCGCCCAAAGCCCTATAGGGTAGGGCAGGGTAGGGTTTTTTTATGGTATACCCTACCCTATGCACATCTCTAATATTGCCAAAACTGACTACGCCGGAGTGGTACAAAAAAGTCGCTAACTTAAGAAAAAATTCGCAAAAACTAAAATCGCATATTGATATATTTATGTAATCTATGGAAACAAAGCAAAGTTCGTTGTTTATTTAAATTGCCATTTTAAAATAATTTTATATCTGAATTAGCATTTACCTATGCTTATTAAATACAATTTAGACCCAAGATCTGGTTAGGTTAAGCGAATATTTTATATTTACAGTAAATATTTAACTTTATTCTAGATGATGCATGTTTATGGTACATAAATCGCAAATACTTTATAACGACTTAATATAGATATTTCAAACATGTCAATACACCATTTATTAACAATGTTTCATACATACATACTACAATCGTGCAAAATTTGGAATGAATTGAGCCAAAACTGAATAATTTAGAGATATTTATATCTCAAAAATGTTGCAAATTGCACACTACAAAGTTGTAGATGAAACTAAATAATTTAAGGCACCTTTAAAAATATCCATGCCGGATAGTTCAAAAGGCCCGAGTCGGTACTTATATAATCACAGGTTCAGGTAAGAATATGGTGTATGTAAATTTAACCCCATTACCTAAATGACCTTAAGTTAATTGCTCCTTTTAAAAAAAACGAAGACAATCGTACAATTATATGGACATTGCTATCACGCAATTTCCAGTCTACTCCTGTAATTTAAGGTGTTACATAAATATATTTACATATCTTAAATATTTTATTTAATACCGAACAAAAGGCATTGCCTCTCATAATTAATGTCCAAGATTATCCGTATCATCATGCGACGCGACACGCGTTACATACATATGCCCAAAATTAACATATCTTAGAATCCAGTCATCGCAAGGTAAAATACGCACGGTGAAAACTTAATTAATGACCTTAACTCATTACGGATGCAATTAAAATCACGCATTTATGCACAATCTCATTATTCTCAATACTCATACTCTTATATTTGATTCCCACCATTAACGTTAAGATTTTATTTATTCCTTATTTCTGCATTGTTTCCGTAGTAGATTACGGCGTGTGAATTGTTTTATTGTCTTAAGGTAGAGTCTCACTACTTGGTAATGAATCGGTTAATTATATATATTAAAAAAACGTGATCCTAGGAAGGTAATAAAAGATGGTGATAAAAACTCCAGTGCCACAGTTTTCTCCACACCTGGACCTGGATAAAGTGTTCATAAATCATTTAATTTAATGAATTTAACCAGTTTCGTATTTGCGGGGTTGCCCGTGATAATTCAGCAATATGCGGATTTTTACAAACAACGTGATTTGGGCGACACTTTAAGAAAACTTGAACCGGACTTTGGCTTACCGCAAATTGAGGAATATGATTTTATCGTGGGTAAGTAAAACTAATAGCGAATTTGAAATTATTTTGTGATTTGTAACAAATTGCAAAAAAACTGGGGCCAAAAATCAAGGTACTGGCCAAATTCTAAACAGTCCAAAATTATTTTTAAAATTATTTCCAGTCATTCTAAAGCAAAGATTCAATAAAAACTTGAATATCTCAAAATTTTCCAAAAATTCGCACATTTTGGTTTGTATCGCGAAAAAAGGACCCCCTAATTTTATTACGAATTCTTGATGTACACAAAATTACGCAAATTTTAAGCCATCAAACTCAAAAATCGTGGGAAAATGAAAAAACACTATTTCATTGTATAAATCTATCTTAAAAATAATTTTTAAAAGTGATGTTTGAATTTGTATTTTTACCTTTTTTAATAGTTGGTGGCGGAACGGCGGGAAGTATAGTGGCGGGAAGGTTATCGGATAATTTCAACGTGCTTTTACTCGAACTTGGGGGTGATCCGCCTCCCCCAGTTTATCCGGCTTACATCGCCTCCATCAACTCATACCATATAAGAACGCACCCCTCAATAAATGAGGTCTACAGGTCAATACCTCAATCGACTTCGGCGTTGGATGATCACGGGGTAAATGGAAATGAACTATTACTCTACTTCCAATCGGATATGACTCCGCATTTGCAAAAACGCACGGTTTAGCCAGGTAAAATTTTTTAGACTATATTGCTAAACCTTGCGATAATGAAAATGCGGAGTCATAGCCAGACGGCGGATATGTATGTATTTATAAGTTTTTGATACCAAATCAGATTCTACTAAAGCTTCGTATACAGACAACCAATCTAAGCACGATCGTAAAAATTCAAACATGGTTTTCCATATTTTAGGCTTTTCGTAGATACATACACTCTAAGAAACCCCGTAACTAACTTGTAAGTTACTACCATGCGGAGTATCTATGTGACTCTACCGAATGGTAATTAATTTATTATTGAGTGGTAGACATTTTGTTACCAAACCGGTAATAACCCCGGTCGCGAAATTTGAAAATATTACCAGTTGGTAACTAATTTTCTACCGCTCAATAATAAATTAATTACCATGCGGTAGAGTCACATAGATACTCCGCATGGTAATAACTTATGTAGTTACCGGTTTTCTTAGAGTGTATCACATATTTTCATACATATTTTGAGAATTTTTCGTATAGATGTGTACATATATTCCTGTATATTTCGAGCATTAAATAATTTAGTAGATACTTCGAAGTTTTTAATGTAACAATATTTTTCTTCATTCAGAAATTAATTTTTTTCCTCAAAATTATATTTCATAAATATAGTAGAAAATTTGAGATAAAAAACAATTTTTGTGCAAATTTTCGGTTTTTTAGCACATATGTTTGTACAGCAACATATTTTGCGGATTTTACGTACATATTCACCCTATGGTCATAGGTGAGGTTAGAATTTGGGCGTTAGGGTATCAAAATTTTTATCGAAAAGCGAAACTTTTTATCTACCTCCATTTGGGTCAAATGAATAATTATTTTTTATCCACAATAGATTGCAACAGTTCACGCCGGTCGAATGCTGGGTGGATCGGGTTCCCATAATTCCAACGTTTTCAACCGAGGCTCTCCCTTAGATTTTGATTATTGGGCGAAACTTCTGGAGGACGAGACTTGGGATTATAAACACATGTTGAAACACTTCACAGACACGGAGGACTTTGTGGGGCGACTGGTCAATGAGAAGGATCGGAATGGTAAATAAAAATGTGCATATACTTAAAATTTCAAAGTTAAAAATTTAAAGGTTTCTGTGTTTTTTGTAGACTACTACGGGCACCACGGACCCTTAGGGGTGACTGTGGACACTCCTGATTTCTTATCGAAGTGGAACATGGCAGCGCTGGAAGTTGGTTCGAACAACAGTGATCCCAATGCTTATCAAAGGCCGGGTAAGGGATTGCGATAAGGAGCCGTTCATAAATTATGTAACGAAAGACCACATCCTTCCTCCCACCCTGGGTAACATAACGCAAATCTGATTTGCCTACAAAAATTTAAGACTCAAAATGAGTGAGTAGTAGATGCTGCCGTGAGTACTTTACTTATTAGGATTTGATTGACGTTTTTATATAATTTCTGTGTTCTTAAAGAACAATGTTTAGAATGTTAAATATTTAAAAATTTGGACAACACAGACGGATTTAATTTTCTTAAATTTTCAAACCGGTTTTTACTCAATTACTGATTGTAGCCTATTTTAGTTTGTTTGACGTAACGCAGGACCTGGACCCTCAACCCCCTTCATTGCTTCTTGTAACGCAGCTCTAATACACCTCCTCATCCCTCTCCTGTTGCATAATTTATGAACGGTCCCTAATGTACAGATTGAAATTCGTTTTTATTAACCCGTTTACTTTTTTTAGCCTTTACTGCCCAATCTGTTTCCATTCGGAATGGGCTACGAGAAAGCGCGTACGAGGCCTTTGTCAAAAGGAAGCTTCAATCGCAACCCACCATTCACAGATATTCACTAGCAGACAGGGTAAATCTCCATAAATAATACTAAATTATTTAAACGAATTTGGGAAAAAAGGGTGCAATTTGAAAAATCATATTTATTAACCTTAGCGTATCAAATATTTCATCGCGAAAATTATAATTTGTAAATTTTAATGATAAAAGAAATTCATAAATTTACAGATTCTAATTAATGACGCCAACCAAGCATACGGAGTTGCCTACACTCGTCACGGAATTCCACAAATTGCTCATGCTAAGAAGGAAGTAATCATTTCAGCGGGCGCGTTTGGATCTCCAATTCTTCTAACTAAATCCGGCATTGGACCACGCGATGTTCTTCAGGCTGCTAAAGTAGGAACAAAAATATTTTCATAAATATCAGCTTTTGGAAAAAGCTAAGAGAAACCATTTTTATTTTACACAAGGATCTACAAATCCTTGTGTAAAAAAACAAAATTTTCTCTTAACGTTCATTTAATTACTAGGAAATGAAGAATGAATGAATGAATAATTCAACATTTCAAAATGAATGAGTGTTTTTTTTATTCCTTCATTTTTTCCCTTTGTTAACTACCAGGAATGGACGAATGAATGAATGAATTATTCATTGAACCAGTGAATAATGAATGAATAATTCAAATTGATACTCAAACTGAATGAATTTTGGATGAAGTAAAAAATATTTGAACCGGTATAAATACTGCTAAGAATTATAATACCCTTGCCTACAGATCCCCGTCGTCAAAAACCTTCCCGGCGTCGGAAAAAATCTCTGGGATCACGTCATGCTCATCCTAACCTTCCGTCGAAACGAGGCTTCCTACCACGACCCAGATTTCGAAGAAGCACTTCTCAAATTCCGAAACAAACCACTCCGCTCAGGTTACCTCGCCCAGCAACGGAGAACGCAAGCATTCGGGGTTTCCTCGCGTGCAAAATCCGACGGCGAAGGGGATTGGGGGGACGTCCAAATACAAATGATTGACCTCCCTTTCGTCGAAGAAAACCCGGGCGGGGCAATTTGGGAGGTGAATTTATCCCGGCCGAAAAGCGTGGGCGAATTTATCTTCAACACGACCGCTTATCTTGCGGGGGAAACTGCGAATGGGGCGTTGGGCAACAGCAACTTTAAGTATTTCAGTGATCCCACCGACATGGACGTGGTTATCGAGGGGGTCAACCTCGCCATCGAGATTATGGAGGGGACACAAGCTTTTAAATCGGGTAATTACAAACTGGACGAATCCTTTATTCCAAAAGCTTGTCAGAGTTTGGAGAGAAGATCGCCGGAAATGTGGAAATGCGTGTTAAAGAGGTTGGGAACGACGCAGTGGCATTGGGCTGGAACGTGTAAGATGGGCCGGAAGAGTGACCCGATGGGGGTGGTTGATTCGAAAATGAGGTAAGTTGGATTTTCTGGAAATTTTTTTATTTATTTGTATCCCACATCGACAATGGAATCGTTTTTCAAGCTACACCGGTTTAAACTAGCGAGTTATGTCAAAAAATCAAGCCAAAAATTAGGAGTCATTTGACCCTCTTATTTCAGTTGAATGGCCCCATTGACAAAAATATTGGAGGTTAAGTTCAATTTTTGTGCAAATTCAACGGAAAGATAAGTGTCATGTGACTTCTAATTTTTTACTTGATTTTTTGACATAACTCGCTAATCGATCCCGGTGTAACTTGAAGAAAGGTTCCATTATGAGAGGAGTCTGATTAATAAAGTTTGACAATTTATTGAATAAAAATTAATTTTTTAACATATGTTTAGGGTGTTTGGGATTGAAAAGTTGCGAGTCGTGGACGCGAGTGTGATGCCTAAAGTGACAAATGCCAACACGAACTCGCCCACCATGGCGATTGCGCAGAAAGCCGTGTTCGAAATTATGAAGCAATATGCACCACACCTACAATAAAGTAGAATATGTAGCTCAATTAGAGTTAATTTTAGCGAAAAATTTGCAAATATTTAACACAAATTGAGTTCATTTTTGTGTCAACGAAATAAATGATTAATTGTTATGCAATTTAATTTCTATGATATATATAAATGATTTGCGTAATGCGACATTGTTATGCATTGCATATAATAATGGGGTGTCTTATTATTACAATAAACATATGCTTATTATCACAAGATCTGGAACCCAGAATCGGTCATTTGATACATAAATTCGGTGCAGGTTGAGCTGGAAAAATAATAATGTCACTTTGTCACGTCACCAGTCCAGTTATTAGAACAATCCCCCAAGTTATGCATATTCAGATGTAAATAAAAACTTGTAATTCTATGGACCATAAAGCTTGAATGAATTTTTCATGAAATATTCATCTATCAAGCACAGATATGTATGGACGAAAAATTCGTTAATTATGTGTGAAAAGATGTACCCTAAAATATGGAAAATATTGAAAACTGTTTGAATTTTTACGACCGTGCTTAGATGGGATGTCAGTATACGAAGTTTTAAATAGTACCGATTTGGTGTGAAAAAGTTAGAAATATGTATGTACACACATATCCGCCATCTGGACATAACAAAACAAAATATTTTTCTTTTATTTCCATTTTTATTTCATGGATTTCATAAACATGTACGCACGTACGCATGCATTTGCTGAGTTTCATACAACATCCCCTTTTCAACAGAATATCTTTGTTCCACCCCAACATAACAGCCGCAGCCCCTCCATTCCACATACCCTTTTACCCTTCCAGCATAGACATTCCGACTGCCTGTACAATCTCTTTTTGCACCCCGATCATGTAAAATGATGATTTATGTAATCATCGTGTCCGTCACTCCGTCCGTCAGCCTGTTATCCGATTGAGGTAAAATGGTTGGAAATTTCTGATATATGTGGAAATATACAGGGTCGTTTGAATGTCAGGTTACAATGGAAAAATTTACAACGGGAAAAATTTGTAAATTTCCATTAGTTACGGATTTGGGATTGAGATTTTTATTACTTTTTATCAAAACTTATGGAACACTGATGACAAAATTCTTAAAATATTAAATTTCAGAGGCAAAATTTCGGTAACCAGTGGAGATTTGCGAATTTTTCCCATTAAAAAAATTTCCGTTTTAGCATGTCATTTAAGCCACCCTATATTCTCTATAATTCTATTAGATAAATCTATAATTCTTTTTACATGATATCCATAATTCTATAAGAAAAAGCTTCAAATCAAATTTAAAGATGACTAAAATGTTTTTGGTTGTTCGCTGATGGGGTTTTCTGGTTAATATGGCTAAAGAATAAGAATACATACCATATTTGCCCTATCGTTTTTTAATACCGAGGCATATGTACATGCCGTATTTTCATTTATTTACAATCTTGATTTATGACAATCTTGATAAATATTGATTTTCTTGAAAACGTCACAAAATACTGAAAATATTGAAAAAAAATTCGCCAATGTGAGATACATAAAGTTTTGGCCATGTCTGTGACAAATTGAAAAAAATGGTAAATCAGTATCATAACTATGTATGCAACTCATCTCGGGCTATGAGATGCTGCACTGGAGATTTTTTATCCCCAACTCAAGCACGTCTGTGAAGTTGGAACCGGTTATGGGAAAAATTGAAACTCGAGACAATACAGTGAGCTCATACATTTTTTGCACCTCACAAGATCGGCTTACATCCGCTGGAGTAAATGAAGTAATAAATCTTGCCATGACTCCAGTGACCTAAAAATGACCTAAAAATGTCGCCATGCCTCCAGTGACCCATAAAAACCACCTACATAGATCTGTCGCCATGCTTCTAGTGACTCGAAAATGACCTGAAAATGTCGCCAGGCTTCCAGTTTCCTTGAAATGACCTAAAAATGAGACGGAAACGCATTTGAAAAATCCTGCGACATTAAAAATAAGGCAATTACATACTCTATTAGTGCCGGCCGACCTTCATCCTGACAAAAAGTTTCTCCTCTCGCTATCATAAATTTCTAGTTGAGATTAGTTAAGATTTTATTTTGACTTCCCCAGGGCGGGATTCTGTAAGTCATATCCCGCATTTGGGAAGGCAAAATCAAATTTTAGCACAACTTGACAAGAAACTGAAAAGTGCGGGAGGTGAATCGAGATCTTATAGACTATGTAACTGTACATTACTTTCGATGTCGCAAGATTTTGTAACTGCGTTTCCGCCTCATTTTTAGATTATTTCTAGGTAACTGAAGGCATAGCGACATTTTCAAGTTATTTTAAGGTCACTGGGGCCATGGCGAGGGATTTAGGTCATTTTTACATCACCGGATGCATGGCGACAGATTTAGGTTATTAGCTCACCCTGCGTAGCATGAGAGCTATTGAATTTCTCTTGTCCGTCTGTCCGTCTGTCTGTTGACGAGTTTTTTGCATTAATCGATGCGAATTAATAAGTCCCTGCTCCATTATTACCGGTCTGAGGAGCACCATTGGTATCGAACAAGCCGTGGCGCAAATGGTGCGAATTAATTGTGCAAATAGATCAAGAAATGACTACAATTTCGGAATAGGTAGCACCGTTAGTATCGAACAATCGGTTATCCAAAGTGGTGTGAAACAATTGGGGGAATCGATGCAAGATGCACCAAAAGTGCAGAACAACTAATGAATATAATAAAAATCCATCAAGTCCATTCTTTAATAAGTTAATAGCACCATTGGTATCTAACAATTGAGAACTTAAAATGATGCGAAATAATAGGGGCTACTGGATGCAAAACGCACTAATAGTGCAGAATATCCGGGAGAAATAATCATACAATTTTGACATAAAATTTTCAAAATTATGTAGCCGGAGTGACGCTAATGTTGCACAGGTGGTCCAACTAATTTGAGCATGTGCTACATTTCTCCGTTTATATTGCATCATAGGTGCAAGAATATATAATAATTATGATCTATTTTGTCGGCTTAGTGTACTAGTGCACCTTCGCGAAGGTGCACTAGTATAGGACCGAAGCTTCAGTGCAAAGTTCTATCTAAATAATTTTGACAGGGTGAGCTACTTCTAACGTTACTACGGTTTATTTTGAGATGACTGGTTGCATAGCGACAGCTTTTGGTAATTTTTAGGTCACTGGAGGCATAACGACAGATTTAGGTCATTTTTAGATCACTCGAGGCATGGCCTTGGCGACATTTATTACTTAACTTACGGCATCGGATGTAAGCCGGTTTTGTGGGCTGTAAATAATGCATGAGCGCACTGTACTGAGTCTCAATTTTTCCCGTAACCGGTTCCAACTTCACAGACGTAGCTGAAGCCCAGTCCACTTGGCACCTATTAAGTGCATAAACATCTGTGCTTAAAATTGACTCCGTCAATAACTAAACATACAATTTAATTGTTTTAATCTGTATTCCACTTTTTAAAGTTTGAAAAGGAAAAAAAGACTCATTATAGATTGTTATCAGTGATGTCAGCAAAATTCCCAGAACTTTTACATTTATTTTCTTGTATCTGAATAATAACAAAATTTAACACAACAATAAACAATACTTATTAAGAACAATTATATAATGGAGCTAGTTAACGACTCCAACTTTAACAGTGCAGCCACACCACGCAGCCTGAATCCCCCAAGACCTCCAATTGCAATTTCCATCGCACACTCCAAACTACGTTATCAACACCAATTATTTCAACTTGCAAATTTAAGTACCCACCCGGAACAAATCACATCCACAAGTAAAACTGAAAGATCGACAGTAAAGTCGGATATTTCAAAAACATAGTTAAATATCTGAGTATTATTTTTTTTACTTAATTACTTTATCACCCTTCTGAACAATTGCATAATTTGTATAACACCCTCACATATAATGCTGTACGTATATATAATTTTCAGCTGCCTTATCAAAACTCCTCACCTCTATTGAAGACATCCACCAGAAGTTAAAAAATGACATTAACACCTTGGTTGGTCATATTTCCTCCTCCTCCGGTCTCCTCTCGGATTCGCAGAAACAGTTCTTTCAAGATTATTCGTAAAGACAGGTACTAATTGGAAGAGAAATTCGTCGATTTGCCACAGACCTTGCGAACATGGAAACCCAAGTCGGACAAAGTTCGCGCTTATCTAATTCTCCATGGAAGCAGACCCGGTGTCATTGTAAGGAAGAGATTAATAAAGAAGTAGTCTCTCTTATGGAAGCTGAATGCAGTTGTATGATTTGTGAAGAGATTTTTGTAGATGTAAGATACCCATTATTGAATTACATACTCCAGGCTCTCAATTTAATTAATTTTACCTCAAAATTAAATTGACCATTAACCCTACGCTTTCCTTTTTACAGGCCACTGTAACCCAATGCGGCCACACTTTTTGCGATCTCTGCGTAAAGAAATGGTACTGCACCTCGCCCAAGCAAGACTGTCCAATGTGCCGTCAACCCCTCGCAATAGGCACCGTCAAACGAAACGTGGAGGTGGACAGTTTTGTTACCCGATTGCATTTACGCCTTTCCGACAAAATCAAAAGAACTCGGAACAGTCTTCTAAAAACGCGAAGGTCAAACGTCTTAAAATTCAATGCCAAGTTACCCAACTGCCAATCCGTCTCTTTACCAGCCACGCCAATTACCTCTACTGATGAAGAAGACTTTCGTCGAATCCGAACTCAACTCCGGACAGAATTATCGTCTTCCCGTGACCACGACGCGCAAATCCCTACCGTCACCTTGGAGCTGGACAAAGTTGACGCTTCAGTCCAAACCGACGACCCTCCTTCCCAATTTGACTCTCTAAACCTTTCCTGCCCTGAATCCCACACAGTCTCAACTCTGGAGGAACTTTATCAAGTTCTACAATCCGAACCTTCCACAAGATTCGATCCCCAACCTTCTTCTTCCCTCCTCCCTACTGTTCATGGCCAAAGTCAGTATGGAGAAGAAGGAAATGACGATGAGGAGGTATTGATCCTCCCAACACCTAAAAAGATTCCTAAAGTTCTGGATTTTATCGACATTACTGACGACCACAGCGACGAGAGAACAAAACCAGGCCCTTCATCAGTCTTCGTCTCTTCCTCCGTTCAAAATAGGGCTGACGAACCTATTGTTCTAGAACCAGTTCCAAGCACATCCTCCAGTACTGCCGCAAACCTCAATTCTCCTCCGTACCAATCCTCAACCGTGGATTTATCAGCTCTTGATGATAATACTATTACTCCCTCCATTCAAAATCAGCAGTACCGTACCAACCGTGGTATATCGTGGTACCAAATACCAGGCCCGGGGCCCGCCGGGGCCCGGGCCGGGTCTCTTGCTGTACACTAGATAAAATGAACTTTTCGTGTCGACGATTTTACGAATAATTTATTTAAGCTTACAAGGGACACTCACAACCTGTCGTTTGAGTCCAGGGTACCCACCATGTTTTTTAGAATCTACTAGGACCCCAGATGAAGGATTCATTCATATTTCCGTGTAAAACTCATATTTGGCCCAATGGCGTGGCGCCAAACTTAAAAATTTGCATTTTCGACCAATTTCAAACCCCCATAACTTTTGCAGTTTATGTCGGATTTTTAAAATTGTATGCTTAAAATGATCAGAAAAGTCGAAATTTTAGATAAAAAAATAAAAATAAAAAATTTTTAATTTTTGAGATATTTTTAGCATTTTTTCGACGAACCCGAAATTTCGAAATTTTGCGAAAAGTTAAAAGCGATAATTTTGGAAAAAATTTCATAGAATACGAAATTTGAACTCCTTGTCATGAGTTTTGCCAAAAATTTTGAAAATCCGTCCAGGATTTCAAAAGTTATGGCGGTTTTAAAATCAAAACCATCAAATTTGGCGAATTTGGCGCCACGCCATGACGCCAAATATGAGTTTTACACGGAAATATGAATGAATCCTACATCTGGGGTCCTAGTAGATTCTAAAAAACATGGTGGGTACCCTGGACTCAAACGACAGGTTGTGAGTGTCCCTTGTTAGTTTTAAAGTAATTTATTTCAAACAAAAGAGTAGTATTGCATGAGTTTGATTAGTTAAATATTGTGTGAAGTTATTTTTAACTTCGTCAATTTTCATTTTATTGAATTACAATAATTACATATTTATAATCTGTATTTGTAGCCGACCAGAGCAATTTAACAATGCATATTAAATATATATGTAGTTATGCAAGGGAATCTAAAGTACTGTCCCACCAAGATCATGTGAAACTGGTCGCATTTGACAGATAATTTCGTGAAACTAACAGATTTAATTGAACACTTGGTTCTAATTATAAGCGAAATACGCAATTATGGAGCGGAGACGGTGCAGTTTTGCAGGCTCATATCCTAGTTTAACCAGGATAGAATGCCACGATATTAATGTAATATCGTGGCATTCTATCTACATATATGTGTATATTTAGAGCATTCTGTTTTCCAAGATTTGGGTACTGCATTTGACTAACTTTGATTTAGTTTCTTCAAAGCTTAATTTAAGCTGCTTAAAACAAATTAGCAAAACAACCTCCACATTTTGCAAATTTTTGAATTTATAGTTAATACAAATAAGTTAATACAAAACAAATAATACAATTTAAATAATTTTTCAATTATGCATTTTCTTGTTTGTTTAAAATTTTGTAATTGTCTACGTAATTTTTTGAGATTATTGAAATTTTGTGAAATTCTGAAACTTTTGAAATGATGATTTTGTCAATGTTATAAATAATTTGCAATTGTGAAAATTATTTCAAGTTTTGAACAAAATCTAAAAGATTATAAATCACGAAATGTACATTCGCTGGATCCAACTATAGATAATCTTGAGGTGGAGAATAGAGTTTTGCTCCTACGCTGTGAATTACTCATTTTTATCGCACTATTGCAAAGTAAAAATCTCCATGGGACGGAAAATTTATCTGTTATCTCAAAGCATAGTGAAAGAGACCAAAGTTTGAGGAGATTTGTGCTGTGCAATAATTGCGGAATAATTCATTTGAATCTCACGGTTCTATGATAAATTTCCAATTTCCTTAAATTCTTGTTGTCCGTATAAAAAGGATTTAGAATATTCTGAATAATTTACTTTAATGCCAGCGACGAATTTATTCCTGCAGACTCATATTTTTACATTGATTTTTAATCTGAGCATTTTGTTGGACTTGACAGTTATTTGAAGACAGAACGCTGGTTTCATAAAATCTTTTCAAAATTTTGCATTATGTGATTGCAGAAATCAAAAATGTATATTCGTGGAACTAAATGGGATGGGATTTTCGAAATTGCATTTTCATGGTACCTAATTTTAGTCCTAGAATTTTTTGAAATTCAAAAGCTGACAAACGACAAATAAATTCTAAAAAATTTTGACGGCAACTATGTAAATACATATGCCACAATACTGAATACAGAGCTAGAAATATGAAACTTACCTATACTTGTAATTAAATTTTCTATTTCAATTCGGCAAATAAAAAAATATTTGTATGAAAAGGGCGATATATGCATGAACTTTTAATTAACCTCTTGGTATTGTATAGCCAAAATGAATTAAATAATATCGAATATATTGAACTCATGAAAGGGCCCGGTGCTCAAAAACATACCAGGCCCGGTAATTTCATGGTACGGCTCTGAAAATCAGGCTGACGAACCTATTGTTCCAGAACCAGTTCCAAGCACATCCTCCAATACTGCCGCCAACTTAAATTCTCCTCTACACCGATCTTCGACCGTGGATTTATCAGCTCTTGAGGATAATATTATTACTCCTTTGATCGCCTCTCGCGCAGTTTCTGCACTTGTCGTATGTCAAAGTTTTGTTGCTCTGGCAGATACACCCGCAATAGTGTCATCCACCCCCACAACTACTTTGTCGTCAGACTCTTCTTCTTTGACCTTATCTTCAGCGCTTGAAAGCCCAAGCACATCCACCCCTCAGGTCCCCATCCGTCTTGGAATAAAGAGAGATTCAAGTGGAAAACTTCTTGTGTTCCAAAGGGAACGAAGCGAGCCACGGGTCAGAGAACAATAGCCAACTGACCCTTTTCTCGACTTGATGGCAATTATTTCAATTTACGCGATGTGAATAAACCCAATTCGATGAGACTGATTTGTATTAATTATTATTGAAGATATCAGGTTTTCTCGACTTGATGGCAATTATTTCAATTTACGCGATGTGAATAAACCCAATTCGATGAGACTGATTTGTATTAATTATTATTGAAAATATCAGACTTTTTTCAAAATAAAAGGTAATTTAAATAACTGGGTATTTCATTTCCATTTGTGTTGATTTCGGCAATAATTCAAATTATGACCGTACTCATGTCAAAGTTCGCATTTATTGAGCATTTTTGGCACGTGCAGGAATTTATTTTCGTGCTTAGGGTAACCAACCATTGAATACTATATGCTCGACAATTCGCGAATAATTTGGAAAATTAGCATTTCGTCATCTGAATTCTGATTTAAGTTCAAAAGACCTAAGTGTACATATATTGTGGACCCCCAATTTTAACTGCAATTGTAAAATAAAATAGTACTGTTGAAATTGTACTGTTGGATGTTTAAAATAGCTTTCACATTTCCACTGTTTCAAAATTATTTAGTCAAAATTGATGCAAACAATAACTTGCCGTTCATTCTTCATCATTCCATATTTTGTATTTTCATTTCGAATTTTGAGATTTCTAGTAATTTTGTCTTTGGTGTGGTCCTAATCATAATAAGCAATTTGTAGCAGTAGGTCGTTAAATTTCAGATGAGCAGTACTTCTTTAAAATTAAATTAATTATAAATGCCCTAATATTACCTTCTGAAAAAGTAAATGTAGTCTCAATTTCAGACTGGGTTAAGACTCTGAATACAATATCTATATTATAATCTGGAAATGTTTGTCTGCAGCGGAAGTGAAAGTAATTTTCCGTGACGGAAGTGAAAGTGGAGAAAGTAAAGTTTCGAATGGTGCGAAAATTCAAATTATTTAAGGATCTTTCTGAATTTTCACTTTGGTGTTCGTTGCTTTCCTTCCGTTGGCGGCAAAGACTTTCCTTTAGTAAACATCTAAAAAAAATATAATTTGTGGAATTTCGAGTATCAAATCAATTCTCGCCCGACGGGAGACGGGCTTATACGCTAGTTAGATATATGCAAATTAAGTTTCGAAATTTTACACACTTCTTAAAAGTCTTATTAAATTTAATTCAAAATTTAATTAAAAAAATATTAAATTAAATATGTATGCACTGCATAAATAGATTGCTGCTACATAAGTTTAGTTCAAGACAAAGTATATACCCAAAATAAGGTAGTAATAAATCATTACCATGCGGAATGACTATGTGGCTCTACCACGTCGGTTACGATTTGTAGTAGAAATGGTAATAATAAGTTCAGGAAAATTCAAACTTAATACATAATGGTATTCACTTCCTTAATATTTGGTAATGAATTTGAATTTCCCTGAAATTGTTATTACCATCTCTACGACAGATCGTAACCGACGTGGTAGAGCCACATAGTCATTCCTCATGGTAATGATTCATTACTACCTTATTTTGAGTGTAAAGTTTGACCATATTATCGGGCTATTCATACTCATTGAAATTTTTTGGGAAAATTTTTATTAAATTTTATCATTAAACGTTACTATTGCTGGGAATATTAATATTAATACTTATCCCGTCCCCACCAGCAGACACGCACTTTCCAAACCTGTCCATCTGATACCCCGTGTCACAAAGGCAGACCGTGTTGCATTTTGAATTTACGACACACGCCGTGCTAGACAAGGTACACGGAAAGTTGGCACGAATTCGGCACCCCCCACCGAGCACGTCGATGCCGAGTAGTCCTGCACATCAAAAAATTATTTGCAGGGATAAAAATAAATTGGGAAAAATTTAGCACGTTCTGTTAATCTATATCATAAGCTGGCAATGTTTGTTTGCAACGGGAGTGAAAGTAATTTTCCGTGACGGAAGTGAAAATAGAGAAAGTTTCGTTTCCCTCGCCGACATTTCCAGCTAATAATATAGATACAATAAAAAAATTTATCCATGGAATTAAATATGAACAATCGTACTTAATTTTCACGAAAATCAGATAAGCCCGTCGCCCGGCGGGAGACGGGTTTATACGCCAGTTGATAATAATTGTAAATTGTTTAGTTTTTAAGACAGGAAACATGAGATAATTGATTAATTTCAGTGGAAAGTTTTTGAAAATTTCAAAATTCCACGTGTAAAACCTGCACTCTTGAAAACCTTGTTTTAGAAAGTTATTCATAAAATTGCCACCGCTCGGTATGAGAATTATACCGAGCCGTAGAATTTACCAACCGACATGGTAAAACTAAACTTTAATTCTGAGCATTCCGGTACATATAACGTGTCACTACCATTTGCTAGAGTGATACAGGAATACCGCTTGGTATTATTTTAGCACCGGTTTTCTAAGAGTGTAAAGTAAATAAAATATTTACCAGTCTGGTACACAAATCCGACCGGATTGCAAGCACATTTGGACCCCAGACAGACCAAATTGTTGTCCCAATTGCATGTCTCGCTTTCCTTCTGTTTGACATAAATAGCCAATCATTAATTAAATACTGTACGTATAAAGAAAATGCAAATTTGCCAAAAAATCCTAACCGCAAAACCCAACCCGGCCATGAGACTGGTCACACAATCTTCCCCATACTGACGGGTCCCATACGTGGGCAAAATAAAAGAAATTACAGTTATGACTTTCACGATAAAACACTTCATTCTTGAAATTAAGTTGGCTTTTTTAGCGTTAAGATTATTCGAAAAGTTATGCTTTTATCTCTAACACGACTGTTAGTAGAATTGGACTTGTTATGTAATATCTACGATTTAAATTTTTGCTTACTCTAAATATGCAAAACAAATTAGGAATGAGAAGCTTCAAGAACATGTTGTGAATATGAATGCCTTTGAAGAAGAACTGATCATGGGGAGCATTCTACTATAAATGTATGCACATAGTTTACATATCTAAATATATCCATTTATTAAATAGCTTCAGCTACTTTATGTAGGCGAAGACTTTGTCTGTCTGTCGGTCTGTCTGCCGGCAGCATAACTGAAGAACAGGTGGAGATAATCGTCGTCATCATACATCCTATCAACCTTTGGGGTCAAGCTAACCACCCCCCTTGGCGTCAGGGGGTGGTCGGGTGGTCAAAATGAGATTTTCACTGAAATTGAGTTTCTAAGTAAAGTTAAGTTAAATTGAGTGTTTTCGAGATGTCGGGGAAGTAGTCTGAAGCTACTTCTTTATATGCGTTTACGACTGTATATTTATTTATGTGTCTAAACGTATTTTATTTATAAGTCTAGTAGGTATGCAGGAATACCTACATACATAGCGATGTATGTAAATCTGGAAAAATAGGCCTTCTAACTGTAAAGGTGGTATCATACGACCTTTTCAAGCTTCCAATTCTCAGAATACATATATGAAAAAACATATTTTCACCCTCGGTGGGACCAGTCTGCCTCTCACCTTTCCACCTTCACTATCACTCGTTATTCTACTGATCATGTGCGTATTCACGGCAACCTTCGCATATCTCGCAAATTGAGCATAGCAACATAGCTTGCCAAGTTTTGCGAGATTTCGCTAAATTTTGGCTGGGATTCTTTTCACAAATTTACCCAGCAATGAAGCATGTCCTTTTGGCAAACTTATTTCGCAAACTCATCCTCACCATCACCAGGAACAGAAATGAAAGAAATCCATAGAAACATTGCCAAAGTATATAGTTTTCAGTAGATTTTGAGTAGATTTTCGAGATTTTCTAGAAGTCATATTTCGCGAATCCCCTCACAACAGAAATACCTTGACCTTCGCAAGTTTGCTAAATAAGTTGTCGTGAGTACGCCCAACATTTAAAGCATTTATTCCAGTTAACAAGAAATGGGGCCAGATAAGGCCATCGAGGATGAAGGGATTAACGCTATGAATTACTATTATGGATTTCTCGTCTCTTCTTTTCTACTCCATCAATTGACCAGTTTCACCATCTGTTTCGAAGAACACATGTTCTGCGGCCACGTCCAAGCTATTTTGCTGGAAATGAACGCTGGCTTAGTTCTGCTTATTTATACGTGTCGGGTCATCGTACACTGGGTGACGAAAAAGTGTAAGGAAATTGATTTTCAGAAATCTTTGAAAAATAACGATGGATCACTTACATATTTATCTAAGTGTAGAGAATATGTATGTATTTATTACAGCAAAAGTCTTCGTAATGAAAGTTTTTGGTAAAAGGTTGCAGAACTCCAGGAGTTTTGACCTTTTAATATATTTCTTAATTACGCAGTATCCAAACGAAGAAGACGCCGTCGCGATGTGAGCAATTCTGCAGGTCGAAGTTATGAATTAGGAAAACGCTTCAATCATCAAAAGTACCCAGAGGTCGTAGATGCAACCGATATTGTGCAGTATTTAGGAATTTCATCTACACAGGTACATAAAAGTCATATTAAGATATTTTTAAGTAGAAATTATAGTTTTTTTAGCGATGATTTGGTGCTTTTAATTTCTCAGAAAACCTTCATCTAGAAATATCTCAAACGTTCTAATGAACTTTAAAAAGTCCCACAGTTAATCACTCCTCGTCAACTACATAAACTATGTCCCACCGCAATAAGGTACATAAGTTAAGACACTAATTAACCACAGTATAAAATTTTACGACTTGTTGTCCATTACAACAGTAACATGTAAATATGCCAAATTAACCAATTCGTCTTCAGTCAATTTAATTTTTTTAATTTTCTAATCTTAGATAACCTGCCACACGAAACTGACAATGCAAGTCTTTTACATGTACAACTCCGATTTGGATGAGACTGGCACCAAAAAATCAAGCCAAAAATTAGGATGAACATTTGGTTTGGCACTTTTTATAATGCTCAGGTTATGACGAGAGATGACGTGACGAAGTGACGAAAACGGGCCCGTGCGAGCCCCATCTCACCGCTTCTCTCATCCATTGCTCTCTGACCTCCTCATTGCTCCTCTCCTCCTTCTCGCTCGCTCGTTTTCACAACTTCATGCGTTCTACATTTTATGACATTATTTTTTCACTGATTTTATAGACTTGTTGTTGCAAATTATTTTAAAAGTAGTGAAATTAACAATGGATAGTATTAAGTTTCTATCAGTCGCTAATGAATTGGTGCGTCTAATAAAAAGTACATATTCATACGAAGAAAAAATAGCAAATTTGGAAGAAGAGGAAATTGCAGAATTATTGTTGGAAAAATTACACGATATCACTCACGAGTTTGTATTTATCGACGAAAATGAGAATGGTAAAATCTCCTAAGAGCGTGTAACCTTAGCAGTTTTAAATATTATTAAATATATACAGGAGAAGATGACAATAACAACGAATCCAATGAACCGTACATAGACCAACATGGATCCGAGCTAAAACCGTCCGAAATCTCGCTGCCGTACAAGAAAAGGGCCGTGGAGGTTTACGAGAATCGCAAAAAGTGGAAATTTTCAACCTTTAAACAACAGTTCTCGAAAGTTCGTAAACCACACTACTTAACGAGGTGGAAAAAGCATATTCAGATGGGAGGAACAAAATTTGAATTATTTATGCACATTGAAAACTTTGTAAGTCATCAATTTAGGCTATGCAGAGAGCAATTCCTCCCCGTGCATGATATGGATTTAAAGAAATGGGCTATTGTAAAGGCGTCTGAATTTCCCGGATTCGTTTTTAAAGCATCGCATTCTTGGTTAAACGTCTTTAAACGTCGTAATAAAATAGTCTCTCGAAAAATTCAAAAACTTGTTAGCTTCCGCGAGGTAAAAGATATCGAGCAAATCCGGAATGACGCAGAATACTTTCGGAATCAAATAGTTCCCATGCTGCAGAACTTCAGCCCCGACCAAATATTCAATACAGACCAAACAGGTTTCAGATATGAGATGACTTCAACAAGAACTTTGTCAAAAAAGGGGGAAAGGTATACGTTCGGCTCCTGCATGTCACCCAAAAATAAGTACACGCATAGTTATACCGTTCAGTATGTCATATCGTATGCCGGCGAAATATTGGACCCATTGTTTATATGCCTGCAAGAGGTTGATGGCAAATTCGGCCCCCGAATATTGGATACAATGCTTTTGGCCCTTAATCTGTACGTGACTTGTACAAAATCTGGGAAGCTAAATCGGAGCAAAGTCGAAGAATTCTTGGACGAAGTTCTCTTAAAAAATCAAACTGGCAATATACTCTATATTCAAGATAGATGGAGTGGTCAAACGGACAACACACTGTACACATCCAGATGCACGGAAGAGTTAAACATCGACGTAATGTATATTCCCGAACATTGTACCGACGTTTGTCAGCCCACCTATTTCCATCGTCAGTTAAAGTACTTGGCCAGACAATTTTATGCTTTCGAAACTGTGCATCTTAGAAAACCAAAATCACCCATACAATTGCGGACCTGAAATGGATTATTGAAAATGCATTCCCTAATTCAATTTTTGTTGTCAGCTCCCGTCTTTAAAACTATGGTTAAATACTGCTGGTTTCTGAGTGGAATATGGGATCAAGGAGATAAGCCAATTTTTCGCAATGCTAAGGAGGTGTGCTTTAATTTTTCAAATAATATGAAATGTTCATCTGATGGTTGTACCGAATTGGCTTTCATTCAATGTAGTTGGTGTAATTTGGTGTTTTGTTTTTATGAATTTTTTTGTGATTACCATTTAATGTATTGTACATCTGGGCCATACAAATAATTAAATCTTGTAGCTAATGTACGAAATAAATCTGTTTAAATTCAATTATAGAGTTAAATTGTTAAGCGAGAAAAATAATACCAAATTTGTATGCTAAAGTAAAATGTAGAACGCATGAAGTTGTGAAAACGAGCGAGCGAGAAGGAGGAGAGGAGCAATGAGGAGGTCAGAGAGCAATGGATGAGAGAAGCGGTGAGATGGGGCTCGCACGGGCCCGTTTTCGTCACTTCGTCACGTCATCTCTCGTCATAACCTGAGCATTATAAAAAGTGCCAAACCAAATGTTCATCCTAATTTTTGGCTTGATTTTTTGGTGCCAGTCTCATCCAAATCGGAGTTGTACATGTAAAAGACTTGCATTGTGAGTAAAGCTTAGCAAGTTGTCAAATCAAAGCCTCAACTACTAAATTCATACATGCATATGAACGACAAAGAATTGGCACAATTACAAATTCAAAAACATATGTAGAGATTTTATACATGTAATCGTTTTTTTGAAAGTATATTTGGGGGTAATTGTGAACTAAGACTTTATGTTAATACATTTTTGTTAGTGTGAAATAAATCAAAAATAAAGAAATTTTTGCAAAGCATGCTTCAACAATGTATTGATTTTCTGGGGCTACTGTACATGCACTGAACGGCCGGAATATATATTAAGGGTGTGAAGTTGGGCAATAAATGTTAAAAAATCCCTGAATGTTTTGATATTATGTGCATACCCCCCACCGGATATTTAATAAATTAAATTAAACAACCACTATCCCAGGAATAGATCCAATTTATTTAATACAACCTAACACCATAAGTTTACAATCAGTCCTCGTTCACCTTTTCCAAAAGCATACAATTTTATGGAATGCTTTTCTGAAATCGGGATTTACATACCCGTAGATACAAGGATTAAGAAAACTATTGGAATATCCAATGGCTGCAAAGAACGGTAAAATTACTGACGACGGACTTTCTCCTTCTGGAAGAAATCCCGTAATTGAATAACCCACCATGAAGGGTAACCAACTGAGGGAAAAGGCCGCAATTATAATCCCCAACATTTTTGCGGCACGACGATTCCTCCTTAGCACGGGAACCGCATCTTGTACTTTATTCCCAGCTATGATACTTGTTGATCTCGTACCTGTTCAAAAAAAACTTTTTTCATTCAAAGTTCAGTCATCCCGATTTCTGACTGAAGATTTTCATTTTCCTTCAAACTCATTTCATTTCACTTCATCTGAGTTTATTTCTTATTTCGCCCCATGTATTAAGCATAGGGTGAAAAATCCCTTCATTCACAATCATTCATCTGAAATGACTGAATCTTTCACTCATTTTCATTCCAATCACAGGAAATTCATTTTTATTCACTATCATAATCCGTCATATGAATGAAAGTGAACAGGTCTTATTGATATTTTTTAATTTAATCTACCTGGAGGATCGTACCCAACCGTTGTAGCTTCAGAAATTCTACTGCATTGCTGCATTTTCCATCTGTTTTGCAGTTCCCGGTAGATGGCGACGTAACTTGATGTCAAGAGAATGACTGGGATAAGATAACAGCCAATGACACAGTGGACAATGAGTTCTCGAGACATGTTGGACACACAGATCCCAAGTTGCACACTCCGGTCGCCGATAGCTTCCCAATCTCTCATTGGTGGAAATATCGGCCAGAAAGAAATTATCCAAATGAGGCATATCCTCTTCAGCAAGAAAGGAAAAGTTCGTCTTTTCCCGTAGCTGACTGTATCATGAACCGCGTAATAGCGGTCGATAGATATTGCAAGAAGGTGAAAAACAGAGGATGTACATAGTCTATTCATAAGTCCCCGCACAAGAATTTCTCGTGATAAATCCCAAAGTATTAGAGCTATCGGTTAGAATTTTTTATGGACGAACAAGGTACTATCGTTCATCCAGAAAGTACTGAGCAAGGGAGGTGACCTGATATGCCGCATGGCCCACTTGAAGTAGATTCCCTGGATACGGATAGCCACACCGGCAGGGGGTGTGACTTTTTAAATTTTAACTATACCACTGAAATCTAGCTAACGTCATAAGCAGTTTGATATGTCACACGACCAGGTTTAAGTTGATTCACTGCATACCAACGGCCACACCCCCAAGGGGTGTGGTTTACTAAATTTTCACTACGTCAGTGATATTCCACCCGGCGAGCTGAGAAAATTGATATGTCACATGACCAGGTTTAGTTAGATTCACCGAATACTTATAACCCCACCCACAGGGGGTGTGGCTTTTTAAATTTTAACTATACCACTGAAATCTAGCTAACGTCCTAAGAAGATTGATATGTTGCAAGACCAGGTTTAAGTTGATTCACTGCATACCAACGGTCACACCCACAGGGGGTGTGGTTTACTAAATTTTAATTACGTCACTGAAATCCCCTTGGCGAGCTGAGAAAATTGATATGTCACATGACCAAGTTTAAATTTATCCATTGGATACCAATAGCCACACCCACAGGGGGTGTGGCATATTAAAATTTGAAACACGTCACTGAAATCTCCTTACCCGCCTGAGAAAAATGATATGTCGCATGGCGTGCATTGGTAAGGTATTGGCAGAAGCGCCGATAACCACACCCCCTGTCGCCATGGGGTCTACGACAATAGAATGTCGTTCACATAGCGGGCCTTGGTAAGATTACGTGTATTGGCGACGTTGAATTTCGGAAACTACGGTGGGGGGAAATTTTTTTACTAAATTAAGTGTGTTGATTTGACATCTGACCACCCCCACAATGACTCCAAAGCAGGGGGTGCGGCCTACTAGTCGCTGAATATCTGACCTAACTATTTCCGCCAAGAATTTATCCCCAGCTCCGTCGAATCCAGTCGTAAAATTTAAAAATCCGATAAAGAAGTGTTACTTGTTTTTTGACCTTGTGACCTGGATTTCGAGGGGTGGGGCCGAATTTGAAAAATCTGAAAATATATATTTCTCCCCAAGGTCCAAGGTATCCAAAACGGGCGCCATTGTGAAAATCCATCAGGAAATGACCGTGCAATTAATTTCGAAACTTTACATGTTATAGCTTATGGAAAGGTCGGCCATTTAGCCTTTTGGATTTATTAACATTGGCCGATGCTCAATACTTTTAAGATGCACCATAATATGGTTTAAAAATCATAACTTCTTTTTTAAGATTTCCTTCAAGGGCTCATACGGAAGACATAAGTCGGGACGACGGCTAATCGGTCGCGGCACGCACCTTTTTCATGGGAAAGTGTTCATGCCTTTCAGAAAGGATGCCTTCAGTGGGGATCCCTTGATTGG